ATGTGCTGTGACACAAAACAAAACTTTTTCAGATACCTCTTCCGGGTCTCTAACGCCGCACGTTTATAGAGCTTTGTACAAGTGTCGCGTCGCGTGACGTCTTTTCGCGGCCTTCGAGAGAGACCCCGCATTCGCGCACACCTGACGCATCTCAATAATGCAGAATGTACACGGTATTCTGCATGTTGGTGGACGTCTTTTTATCGGTATCGCGCGTTTACGGGGTTGCGTCCACGTAGCGTACGGAGGGGAGGGCTTTAATCAAATTCCGAGATGTGTCCATGACCGCTGCCTGCTGCGTGGTATAAGATAATAGTAGTCGCAGTCGTACTTTCTGGAGTCCGACACGTTGTTATGTGCACCTTACATTATAGCAGTCGGCGATCAATCGGTTATCTTAACGACTCAAGAGATTAATAGGCCAATTAATTTCTCGAGAGTAGAGATTTGCTTTCGATTAGGGAACATGCCAAAGTAACCATGCCCATCACATAATCGGATGTCTCATGATTCAAAAAGATTAATAGGCTAATTAATCTTTAATTAGATACTTTCGACTAGGATATACACATTCGGATTTTTCCATTTTTTATCATTGTTATCTCTGAGGCAAAAGAGATGTTTATAATTTTAATTTTAATTGTTTAATAATTTATAATTATAATTACATAGTTTATATTTAATCTATATAACTGTGACTTAGATAATTTAATTTAAATAATTTACATATTTTCGCACTTTGTCTATCACTTTTTTTTCTATATTTTTAATATATTTGCATACATACACATACTTGCATACTGCAGTTTTTTATATAGTTCTACAGATTTGATGTGTTTCCGTATTTTTATATTTTCACAATTCTGTTTTTATACTCTTATATACTTCTATATTTTTCATCTTTCTATATTTATGTATGCACTTATATTTTCTCTCTTTGTTACATATATATTCTCTATTTCTCTGTATTATGAGCGACTATTATTATTATGTCATTAACAAGAGTAATGGATTTGAATGTGACTATTGTTGCTCTTCGATAGATCGATTAGACTGTTAAAAATGCGCTTTTGTCATGATTCTCATGATTCTCTCATTTAGTCTAATCGACATGTAGCATAAGAGGAAAGACGTTCAAGTTTTCGGAAATGACTATCAGACAATGCGATCGAAGGGAAAGGGTGCATGTATTCCTTTCCAGTCTATAGACACTAGTGGTTAATGGCAAAATATTTTGCGCTTTCCCCTCAGTTCAGTGGCGTGTCGCGTTTCACGGGAAACTCGAGCGTGTGTTTCCGCACGCATCAATTTGCCGGGAATGATGTTTATTCAAACAGTGACGCAAACCGGCGTAAAATTCCTTTCCCCTTCCTCGCTTAGCAATTGTAATTGTTTACAATGATGCTTGTTTGTCGATTAAAATACAGCACATTTGAATTGCTCGCGCTACGCACGACTTATAATTATACTCAGATGACAGACATAATTTTTTTGAATATTTTCTTTTTCTCGTAAACTTTAATATGACGCAACTGCGTCATAAATTTAATAAATTAAATGTTAGTAAATTAAATTTAATGTTAGTATTATAAATATTAATAAGTCACAAAACATAAGTAAAAAAAAATTACGTCATTTTAAAACGATGAGAATTGCGTCCTGTTCTGGACGAGTAAATTTCATTCTCCTGGGGGAGGATGCTCGTCTCGCTTTTCGACGCATAAAGTTACATGGATAACAGTGTAAGCGATCCATCACCGTTGAATTTCGAGCCACCCTTCTGTTTTGGTGAGACAGTTCCGTTCGTACGTACACTGAGAAAAATCGTTTGATTGTACCAACAAGACGTATGTGATTGAAGGCATTTTGGTTAAATCAAACAAGAATTTCTAGTTATCATGACTCGATTTTTTATAACTAGAACGTTTAATAGATTTTATAAGGATTTTATAAGAATTTGGTTAGTATTTTCTGGTTGAATCTATAAAATTTCTTGTTACATTAATTTCTTTGCTTGCCGCTAGACTCTTAACTTAACTCGTATTCAATATTTGTCATGAAATGTATATAAAGAACTAGTATTAAATCCAAAGTATATTTTTTTTTCTTACGAGCAGTAGTGCCAGAAAGAGGATGCTAGCTCTCTGATTGTGTGTGTTTGAGCTGCATCCTCTTCTTGCATCACTGTTTATCAGTTTAATTTCTGTTTATCAGTTTAATTTCTAACAAACTGAATTTAAAATAATTTATTCAATAATCTGGATTAAATTTATCTAATAATCTTGTTGAAATTCAGAATATTAAACAGACCTTTGAGATTAGATGGAAAAAATTTTCGACGACTTGGTGCTGGCGAGTTTAGTATTATTAACCAGAAAATTTGGAAATTTAACACGAAAAAATTAATCAGATTCATCTGGTAATTCCTACAAGAATTCTGATTCGTCCATTTTCCAACAGACATACTGGTTGAATCTACCAGAATTCTAATTAATGCAATCAGATTTTTTTCTCAGTGCACTGTTTATCAGTTTAATTTCTAACAAACTGAATTTAAAATAATTTATTCAATAATCTGGATTGAATTTATCCAATAATCTTGTTGGAATTCAGAATATTAAACAGACCTTTGAGATTAGATGGAAAAAATTTTCCACGACTTGGTGCTGGCGAGTTTAGTATTTAATTAATGCAACCATATTTTTTTCTCAGTGTACTTGTCACCGTACGCGAAAATTCGATCTGGATGAATAAAACGCGCGACGTTCATAAGTATGGCAGGTACTCTAGCCGCGGATTATAGATCAGTATTATGTACGCAGGTATACACTCGGGGATTGTCAATTATGAAAAAGGTCGCGAGGTAAGACACGGCGAACGTGTGTAACGACGATCAGTCTCATATCCCGGCTGGCCCGTGGAGTACCGGACTCGCGCTCTCTTACTTTCACCGACACCCTTACTCAACCCTTATCTCTTCTTTTTTCTATTTGACAATTCATCCCATTTCCTTACTCGACATTTCTCGACGGAACCATCGGACCGCTGGATCGGTACGATCGTTCTTCGCAAAGGAGAGCTACCTAGAGACGCATCGTTCTCATCGTTCTTCGCGAAAAGATCGCCGTTTCGAAGATGAGCATCATCTTCCTCGTGAGGCTGGCTCTGGAATCGCTGGGCGCCAAGTGGCGACGATCGAAGGAAGGAGGAATGTTGAGGAAACGTCGATACCAGCGCGGTTATTATTGAATTGTCTCGCTCTTTTCGCGATCGTGTCGTTTCGCACCTCTCTGTCGGCGAGAGGACCGATCGTGATCCTTCGTGCGTGCTCATTGTGCATCGTCGCGGTCATCGACAGACCGCCGTTTGTTAAAGGCAACCTGGCTCGTTGAACCCGATGAGCTGAGGTGTGGTTATTCTCGCGCCGCGAAGAGAGACCGAAACTGGTTCGTTAGTCATCGCACTGCACTTTTTTTTCGCTTCGTTCGGCTTTACCTCATCTCGATAGCTTCTTTTTCTCCTCACCTCGCTTCTCTGTCCTGCCTCGATCTCGTTAGTTTGCCCGTCTTTGTCTCCCTTTTCCCTTCTCGTTTCCGCAGAAGTTGGCTGGCGATCAACACCTAAACTTTAGCAGCAACTATAATTGCTGCTATTCTTTTTTTTCTTTTCATTTGTTAGCTTTTTTGTATGCTATCTCTATTATCTGTCATCCTTTATTATTCCCTTCATCCTCCATTTCCGCCTTCTGTCATTTAATCCAAATGAAAGCCGAATAAAAGCAGATAAAGTAAGTTGCTCAAGAATAGGTAGACTTTGTGTTACGTGTGCACAATCCATCGCGTTTAGCAATTGTCGTTCGAATGTGGTCATCGTGCAGATATGTCGTGCTCAATTATTGGTGAATCATCGCGTTGATAATCGCGTGACTTTTGATAACGAGGGTAATTTTTTACCGAGAATCGCTTGGACATCTGTCGACTTTTGATCGATAACCAGCGGATCGATCCGAGCTCACGTCGATTGTCGACCGGTTGGCAATTGCCGTTGAAGCTATTTCGGTACATCAGCATTCTCGAGGAAAATTCAGAAGAGATACCTTATCCTGAAAACAATAATAATAATAATATTGTCTTTCGTGAAATGAAAACAATGATGGAGCTCGAGACGCAAGCGTTGATCGAGCTTTGTTTTTCTTCTCGCCCACTTCCCAGGGCAAGGTACGTGACTTTTAACATCTTGCTTGATTGTACAAGGATGATAATTTTTTACGAAAATACAAAGTTATGCCTATTTTATCCACGTTAGGAATTAATCGGAAACTTTTCAATTAAAAGATTACTTAAAATCCCAAAATTGCACTTGCGATATCGCAGAAAAAAAATCACTCATGTTTAGTAAATAATTGTAATTGGCGATACATTGCTGTAATAAAAAATCTGTTATTTGGATATTAAAAAAATTGGCAATTTTCGATTAACAAAAAAATTATTTTTATTACATCATTTCTAGATAAGTTACAAAAATTGATTTATTAATTTGCTGCAAAGATCATTTTATCCTTTTATATCGTATGCTTTAGAAATAAAAAGAAACCAAAAAATATTGGAACAACATTGTTTCTAGTCGATTCTTAGTATTCTTGATTGTCATATTCATTTATCAGAGAAATATCTATATCAGATGAATTATTTTTCGATGAAATATCAGTGACACTTATCAGGCTATAAAATCGACGCATTTAGTAATTAATATATGTTTTTAGTTATTAATATGTTTTTTTAGTTATTAATGTTTTTTTTAATATATTATTTTATTTATTAATATATTTTTTTGTTTTAACATTATACAAACTAGAGATAAGTACAATAATTCTCTATTTCTAGGATATTTAGGGTAAAAAATATGTTGGATAAAAAGTGTAATAAAAGCGGTCTTCTAAGATCATCCGCTCCAATTCTCTTCACATTAGTCTCAAGTCCCATTTGACGTCTTGTTGGCAGGTCTGCGGGGTCCATAGGCGCGCGGTCGGCACCCAGCACACCCTCGCAAGCTGTCCTTGACGCGCCACAGGCCGCGGGCCAGCAATCGATCAGCGGGTCCCAGCTCACCGTTGCAGGCGCCAGCTATCCTCAGCCTCCGAGGAGCCCCAGCCACGCGGCCTTGCGATGTAACGACAGGTGAGGTCCCGCTTGTGTATATATACGAATTTTATGTAATCGCAAATCTAATACTAGAACCCATTATCTTGTCATTTCATCGAAATGGAAGATAATGAATGCCAACGTCAATGTTGTATTATCGATTTATGTTATAGACAAGTCGCGAAAATACATTAAAAGTAAGAATGGAGATACGCAAGTCGAGATGTTAGTTTTAAGCAAAATGTTGTAAACAGGATGTTGCGATATAATATGCGTGAACTCGAATGTGCTGCTTAATTAAATGTTTGTTTTTCATTCGATTTTTATTTAGAAATTATACGACGCATAATGTTACATAATTTTATCTGCACGATATAAAGAATCTCTTCTTTTGACGTTTTCGATATTCTTTTTATGACACAGACAGTGATGAATAGCTTTGCGCACATGCTCGCTTTTAATAATATTATCAATGTTGAATATCTATTTTCGCGGAATAGACAGTTGTACATAAGCTATCGGTTCTCGAAAATTATCGATGAGGCATCTCTGATAATGATAATGTCGCACCTGCACACACATTGCAGAAGAGCGTAAACAGGGAGGGAAAAAAGTGATTATGATGAAAAATAAGACGTTATATGTTTTCGTGATAAGACATTATAATTAACTTGTCTTTCCCTCTCTTTCTCTCCCCTCTCTCTTTCTTTTTATTTCTCTGGTAACATGTTTTTGTACGGTATAACTGTATCACATTAACTAGTCCGTATCCTAAGCATCTATCGGATGCTTCCTGACAGTTATTTACGGTGTTCAAATATTATAACGGCACATGTGTACGGAATGTTAGGTCAGACAACTTTTTCTGGTCGGTGAGACTTGAGCAGAAAATACCTATTTGGGAAATAATTATATGATAATCAAAATTAGTGGAAATTTTAACAGCGTTTCTGCAATTAATTAATTTGTTGCAGGATAATTTTTACATAAGTTCTGTTGGACAAACGTTCGACGATGTATTTTCTTATAAAAATATAAAATATGATATTTTTATTCCTTTAATCTCAAATGCAATATATTGAACTAAATTTATAAATTGGTATTGTTTTTTCTCTTTCTTCTTTCCTATTTCCTCTTTTCTCTACGTCAGAATTTTATTTATATACACGAATGATCTATTGATATTAGATTAGATTTTATATATATTAATTTTAGTTGATGAATCAAATGTATATTTGAAAAATGATACACAATTTATGAATCATATTTTTTTCACATATTCACGATTGCAACATTGATTGCGTTACTTTGTAAATTTTTATCATACACAAAGGATAGTGCCCATTGATTCTTGTAGATAAAGTATTCTCGAAATTATAATTTTGCGTATCGAATCAGGCGATATTGCGATGTAAATTGAAATTTTTATCGCATGTTTAGCGTTAAATATCGCGTAACTCGACGGCATTTATAACGCTAAATCATGTCGAGAATAGAATTGTGTTTTGAAACAGTTCAATCGTGTGGGAATGTTTTGCGGCCATTCTTACAATAGCCATGCATGCCGTCCATAAACGGTTATTACGATACAAAACATGACGTCGCAGGTATTATCTGCGTTAAATTGCCTTTTGTGATTAAGCTGGCTCGATACAAAATTATCTCTCAATTTCCTGACAGTATGACGCGGTGTTTCTTACATAAAATTAAAATGATCTTTTTTTCGTGAAATAAAAAACTTTACTTTCATTAAAAGAAAAAACTTTCATTAAAAAGAAAATTCTTTTTTAAATAAAATCTTTCAAAAAAAACTTCTTACGTATTAATTATTACGGTTGACCTTGTTGAAGGCGATTTATTTATGCAATTTTTTTTAATGTTTACAGTCTTCCACAGAATTTTTTAATTAAAGGAATCTACGCATTTTTTTTAACTGTAATTTTTCTGCAGACATCTTGTCACGAGAGACAAAAACCAATATTACTCGATAAATATGCATAATTTTTTTATACTAAGTCTTCATTAATGCTAATCTGTCCAGTCTCTATTATGTGTAAACTTTTATACGTCATTCATATGCATGCTATGGAAATGCTGTTGTATTAAAAAAGAAAAATTTGGAGGTCAGTTGTAATAGCTGCCCGATAGAAATTATAATCGTTATATACAATGACATACAAAGACTGTATGATGAAAGATAATCCAAAAATAAGAAAGAGATATGCGTCTATAGATGTGCAAAATATAGCGCACGTCACAGCCTTTATCGACACAATATAAATATTAAAAATATACCGGAAAAAGGAAGCATTCAACATTGTTTCCTTTCTCGTTTTTACGTTTCTATCACGTTTAAACATCTCGGCGAGATTATATCGAATTACAAGGTTTGCGTCTTGCAACTCTATTATGATGTCACGAGCCGAATAAGACCTTTTCGCGCCTCTTATCGGACCTCCTCGTCCTCTTCTCCGTCCGCCAATTTTTTCTGATCTTGTCACGTATCACTATCGGACTTACGTTTGCATCCGCCATTTTATCGCCGCGCAATTTTTTTTTTTGCGATGGCTCAACGAACGCTCCAGACAGTCTCTCACGCATTATCATCGACGTCGAGAGCTGATAGGGATTGTTAAACTCCCAGCGCGGTTCTACTTGCATCAGTCACGCGTTACGTCGCACATCGAGCGGTCGCCTTCAAGCATGAAGGAAAGATGAACATGGTCAGTGATTCGGATTGAGATTGATTATTTCGTTTCTGCAATCTATTATTCTAATTATACAAAAAAATCTAATAACAAGAGAGGAATCAAAGGATATATAATAAATGTATACTTATTACTCATTTATATATTTCTAACATTCGTGTTATATACTTATAGATATTCTCTGTACTCGAGGTGTATTCGAGTTTTCACGAGTAATATCTACATTTTCGCAATTATTATAAAGGTACAAATTTAATTATTACAAACGTTTTTGCTTATTTTAAATTAATTAAATTATTATTTTTTTTCATTAAATAATTTTGATTAAATGAATTTGTAGAAAATAAATAGACAATTATATTAAATATTGATACAGTTTATTTGATAAATGTGTTCAGTTGTTTTTTCGTTTAATGCTCAGAGGAAATTTTGATGATTTAAATGAAGTATAATATTTGTGTTTATTTAAAATATTGTGTTTGTTTAAAAAATAATTGTCTTAAAAATAATTCTCTCGTACAAAGCAATTATAAGGAATATCTGGTGAAAGCATTTATTTATGCTGTTTTGCAAAATATTGTGTCGAAATTTTCAGAAATGAAGGCTTTCGTATTTTTCTACGATACGTGGGTTTTATCACTATTTAACGTGTAAATCTATATCAAATCACTATCAAATGATAGTGATTTTTGGTATCAATTGTGGATCACTGCAAACAGAAGTCTAGTTTATATGAGATTGCCTCGAGTTTTAAGACGCAAAGTTGAAAGAAGGAGAGCAAGGAAAGATGCAAAGATGGGCCACGGAACACGCGTGGACATATGGGGCAATGATTTATGGAGTATCTCTATTATGGGCAAGAAAAACAAGGCAGTCCCTGAACAGGACAAATCCGACAAGTCAGTTCTTGTGTTTATATAAATAATGTTATATAAGTTTGTTAGTTTGTTAGTATCTCATTAATTATTGATTTTTAAAAATGCAGACATATGGATAAGATGTGCGGACCAGCCAGTTCTCTCAATTTTTTAAACTTTGGACGAATCGCGCGATAAGATATAGAAATAATATAAATGATAAAAATCCACTTTCTTGATATTATTTTTTCAAATAAAAGTTAAAATCAAAATTTCTATTTATCATGACATATATTTCGGAATGCAAAATATCTCAATACTTTTTTAATTAAATAAACAAAAAAGTTCACTGCAGATTAATCTAAAAGCGAGATATCATGAGCCATGAAAGTTTATCGGAATTAATTACCATATTTAAATATCATCGAGAAAAGATATCTTTTAATCTTAAAGCCTTCTGTGTATATTATACGAATACAGTGGCAGCACTTGAACAAAAGTATATTATGTAATATATTAATATATGTTAATATATGTGATACAAGAAGATTGTTAAGTTCAACTATATATAAGATGATTTGACTATATAAGATGATTTGACAAGAAAAATAACTCTTGTGTAACCATCAACCCATTATCATCATGACCCTTTGGCGTTAAAAGAAAAGAATCAATGATCTTTGAACTTCTTTCTTGATTTTAAATTCACGTCCGGATACGCTGTAGAAAGTAGTTTCTAGTTAATTACGATATGAATATAAAATTTAAGCAAGTAAGCAGAATATCCTTTTCAGGGCGTCTTCTTACCTGATAATATCAAGACAGAAAGATATTCTCTAACAATAAGTATATGATGACAAAGTGAAATATAGGAGTGTCGATAAAAAGCATTTTTTAACTGACACTTCAGGATTATAAGGATTTTATTTCATTTAACAAATTGTGATTCAATAACTTCTTTATCTTTTATAAGAATATATATTTAAAGATAAATTTTTTCTTATAAAATATATTTTAAAATATATTATAAAATATATTATAAAATATATTATAAAATATATTTTCTTATAAAATATATTTTATTTACTTATTCATTTATTTAGATGCAGTATATATATATATATATATATATATATTTTTTTTTTGTTTTATTAATTATCTTTTATAATCGCAAGTAGGAAAAATATTTTTATAATTATGATTGTTAAACATAAAAGAAATTTTATTATCACACGTTGATATTAATACAATTTTTATTTCGAATAATTCAGATATTAATTTTTTCTCTAAATTTGTAATTCAATAAATATTTGATTATTTTAAAATAAATATTGATTTTTCTAAATCAATCTCAATTCTCAATTTATTATTTACATCTATTTAATACATGTATTTAAAAGCTCGAATTAGCCATAACATCCTTGCTTAAATTGTCTTTTTTAAATAAACAGGAATTTTTATTGCATATTTAAGATAATTTTAATATATACTGTAATATTTTATTAATAATTATCAAGTGAATATTTTACCCTATAATATTTAATATTTATAAGTGGGAGTCTTATATTTTCGCTCTCTCTTTTCTTTTCAGTCACCTTTCGAAACCGTTGAGTAGGAGTACACCATCGATGGCAGCTGGCGGCGCACAGACTCCAGCAAAGGTTAGCAGCAGATCTTCGTCGAGGTCGTCGCCGACGTCCACTAGCAGTGCGAGACAGAAGAAGTTTCACAGGCATTTCGCTCAGGTAAAATAAATATTTTTATCGTTCTGTCTTTTCCTCTCCTTCTCTTATCGTTACATAAGGCACATTATTGTAGTCGTAAAACGGGCGACGCTCTCGTGAGAATTTTTATCGTAACTCGGAATATCTTGTGTATAATATGCATATAAATCACTACATAGTTTAGTTTTGTATTTTTGACGATTTAAAGATGCAGAGATGTATATTTAATATCGACGTATTTATTTTCTCAAAACAATGATTGTTTAAAACATGAGAAGAAAGACGAGAAGATATTTTATAAATGTTCTTTGGCAACAAATAATTTAATTTATTTAATCTAGATCTATTATATTATTTGCTTCTTTTCTATCCGATAGATATGTAATATTCTCAAGATGTAGGGATGTAAACGCGTACGTCAGTGCACGCCTCGTCTGTATACACTATAAAAATATTTTCTCTTATCTGTCGGTGAACTGCAGAGAAGCAAAAGACCAGATGTTTAGATACGACGGAATGTACATGCATGGCATAAATGTAATGGCATAAATTATTGCCAAGTATCAGAATTCATGATTCAGTGAGTACACAGAGAAAAATGTATTCAAATAAATATTATTATTTATTTTAAGTATATCATAAATTTACCACAAGCGTTAAATTTAATTGAATACACAGAAAAAATAACTGTCGAATCAAAATTTATATACTTAAATTAACGCGTTCATTGTTTCGTATATACACAACAATTTATAATCTTCTTAGAAGAATTTAATAATTTTAAATTTCAACAATATTATAGTCTTATTTTAATATTATAATTGTCATCTCAAGAATATATAATTATTTAATTCTACTTTAAGAAAATTATAATCTTTGATTTAAAAATGTTATTTTCTATCTAACATTGTTTCTTTTCTATTCAAGAAAATTAAATCATAAATCATAAGAATATATTTTTCTTGATTGAACTATATAAAATGGGTTCATTCAAATAAGTAATTATTCAAGCAATTATATTTTTCTTTAATTAACGCAATATAATCTCATTTCAAGATTTCCATGTTAAAACTAAATATATTTTCAAAATAAGAATGTCCTTTTTTTCTGTGTATATTCTGAATTTTAGTAAGTGCAGTCTATTTTAGTCAAGCATATTAAATTAAAACAAAAAAATTTCGTTTGCTTACTACATTGACGTAAAGTAAGTTCGATTTTTCTTTGATACAACTTTACAATATTCTTGAAGAAAAAATAAATTCTTCTTTTGAGTACATGATAATAAGATTTGCTAACACTTGTGATGAGTATATTTTAAGATTATTATCAAGAATATATTCTTTGTTGAAGAAAACTATTACTTAAAAAAAAAGAAAAATAAACCGAGTAATCGCTTTCCTTGGCAGTAGAATATTTTTCTCTGTGTATAACCGATTTTCCTGTCAGGTAAAAAAATTTATAACAGTGTACAGCATTTGCCACACTGTATATGAGCCGCGTAGAATTATTGATGAATAGAAGCGTTACACAAATGATACACACATTCATATTGTTTGACAAACAAAGTATCGCATGTCAACTCGAGATCAAGTGTGCCTTTAGAAGACGTTCGTCGCACGAGAGTGAACTTCGACGGTCTTTAGAGCATATTTAGAATTTAAAGTACTCCTAGGAGAAAAATTAAGGCTGATTACAGGACCAGGGACTTAGGGGCTCGCCCTCATCTTGATGTAATCTTAATGTAAGAGCAATGCTGATCTAACGTAGCCTTGGAAATCTTGTTTCCAGGTAGCAGAGGACGAGCACGTGCTCAATTATTACAGCTGCGCGCTGGTGGGCGACATCCTGCTGCAGGGTCACCTGTACATTACGCCCAACTACTTCGCCTTCTACAGCAATGTGTTCGGTTACGTGACGAAGCTGCTGATACCGACTGCGTCTGTGCTGAAGATCAGCAAGGAGAAAACCGCTCGTATTATACCGAATGCGGTGGCGGTGGCCACCGAGGAAGAGCGGCATGTCTTTTGCTCGTTGCTGTCGCGCGACTCGACCTACAAGCTGATGAAGCAGGTATGGGACGCGGCGTTGGAGCCGCGCACGATACCGGACGCCGTCTTGCCTGACAACGACACCAAATTAATAGCGCCGGAAGCGATGCTCGTCAGCGAGGAGAACATCGTGGAGTCGTCGCATGAATCTAGCGCATCTGAAAGTGGCACCGATGCCACGGCGACGACCTCTTCCAGACCGATTACCTGCGTCGACAACACCGAGATCGCGCCCGTGGTACTCAACAGGCCGAGTTTACCACCTGCCAGGTAAGTTTCTCTCTTTCCCTTTCCTTTTCATCTGTGCATAAGTAATTAAAATAATTTTATTAAGTCTAATTGAATGCAATACATTAATTAAATTTAAATTATTTTAATTTAATTTAACTAAATTTAATTAAAAGAATTTAATTAATTATTTAATTAAACTTAATTGAGATAAGTCAAACTTGAAAAAAATAAAAGTATATGTGATAGTGGGAAATGAAAAATATAAAGTATATTTCTGTCTTTTGTAATAAATTAAAATCTTGCATGTTTTTTGCCAAGTTTTTTTCTTACAAGTTATCCAGCACTTGTGATTATATGATGTATTAAAGTTATTCTCTTGCGATTGATAGTCATTTCGTTTGTCTTTCCGCAGATTTGAAACAGTGGTATTAACGAAGACACTGGTGCCCGCTAGATCCGGCAGATTGCAATTTCTCTTTGCCAATGGTGTGAAACCCGGCATGGTGATAGCGATACTAATGGCTCTCTTAGCAGTTCTCTACGTATCGGCGGCTCTAATGATGATGCGTATCGATAAGCTGCATACCGCTTATCTAAACCATCCTTTCGTCTCGCCAGAACGTTTCACGCAAGATCGACTATTGCATTACCTTAACACGAATTTGGATCAAATTGTGAAGGTAAAATATTATCCTGCTCACGTGTATCAATGATTATATTTTCTGGGAAGAATAATAAAATACAAATTCGCATTAAATGATCTAAGGTCCATTTGAATCTCTTTAAATAATCGCTACGTTTAAGATTTTTATCGTTTTAAAAATAATTATGGATGTAAGAAAAGAAACAAACTAGACACAGTTTTATTAATTCTCTTCTATTTTATTTTCTAATTTATATTTTTTTTTTGTAAAATATAAAAAATACATGAATCACTTTATTACATGTGTTTGCCAGATGTTCAAATTTTATCGCGTCTCACAAAGATAACTTGTGAAGAGGATCAGAGCGGGAAGGAGTGAAGCTTTTAACGATCGATCGATCTAAGTGACTATCCATGTCCATAAAACATAGGGAAATATATTCATGTATGTTTGCAGGTGCGGCAGAGTCTGCAGACACTATCGCAACAATTCGTGACGATGAGCCAAGGTGGTAGCGAGACGGGGCCGGCTGGTGGCGTAGTCGAACCGGAAGACGCACCGAGTTAGCCTTTGACTGTGAGGCTCGATATAATTCAGCTAAAAAACGGCACGAGGCTCCGTCGTCTCGCCAGTGTACGCGGCGTCGTCTCATAAACGATGACGTCGACGTCGTTTTCGTTTTGTCTTCGTTATCGCCGCGTTAATTCTCGGCGATCGCGACGGCGATCCTTTTCCCGAGATCATGCGCGATCGTTCCCCTCAAATAAGCGTCGTTATTGTCGTCACTTTTAGTATCTAGACTTTGCGAGGGAGTTTAGAGAAGAGGCAGCCGTCTCGTAAAACGAGAGACCTCGGGGTGAATCCCGAACGCGAGCAGATTCGAGAGTGAACTTTAAAATGGAGAGGATTCGAGCGCTTGCAGATCGTAGGCTGCTTCGACTACAGATACACGCGCATGTTCACGCGTACACACATATACATAAATATACCTCAGAACATAGAAAGTGATGAGGATAGGGTAAGTACGCGCGGCGAGCGAAAAGGGGTTTCCGCTTTTCTTCTTCTTCTTTTTTTTTCTCCGTTCTTTTTAAACTAGTCACGTGTGTACCTAAGCCCCGGGGTACGACAAAAGAAGCAAAATGAACAAAGTGGTATATGTATATATACATAGTATATATATAGTTATATACATATATATATGAAGTATCTATACATACAGATATATATATATATATATATATAGATTAATAACAGTGCATATTTCGCGATTACTTGTTCGTTACTTATGTAATTTTGAGCTAGTCGGGCACTACTCTATTTCACCGCTGCTATATACATATATATATAAATATATTAAAACACTATTATATAGCATCATAATTGGATAATCTTATCTTGATATAACGCGTTTGATGCGCGCGCCGTGCGATACTTCGATGAGTATCGAGCGAGATAGTATAATAGAGGAGCTCGCTTTCCTTTTCGCCGTTAGCTCTTTCAGTACCTGCCTTAAACCTGCATTTAATTATGATAAAAAGTTTTTAAGAAATGTATTCTATTCTCTCTCTCTCTCTCTTTCTCTCTTTCTCTTGCCATGTCCATTTTGGAATCTCGGCTTTGTAAAAAGTAACTTCAACTTTATAATTTTCTCTTTTATTGTTCAGTAAGATTTCGTAAGTACGCTATTGATGGAGATACAATATATAAGTTCCATGTCAAACAACAGAATTACAAATGTAAATATTGAAATCATTGGAAAAGAGAATAATATAATGCGACTTTCTTAAAAGTTTGAAGATTTGACGATTGGATTGTTAAAAAGAAAAGAAAAAAATATATATATATTTATTCTAGATTTCTCTATTATTGTTAAGTGAGTCCGTTTTTATAAGAACTTTGTCCTATTAAAGAGAGAAGTGTGGCTTGCCTCAGAATTATCCACACTAATAATTTTAAAATAACTTTTGATGTTTGTATATCATCTCGTTTAAGTGATTCTCGATGTCTTTGCAGACCGTAGCGTGTAAATTAAACTAATTTGTAATAAATTACAGATCAGAATTGGATTTTTGATGAATTTAAATGAGAGAGGGAAATGAAACGAAAACTCTTGCCTAAATATTAGTATTTGCATATTTATATACCACGACTTGCGAGAATGAATGTTTACTTAACGATGGTCAGAGAATTAAACAAGATTGATTGTAAAATTGAATAGAATTAAGGAAGAGGATGATATAATGCCCTTATATCTAACTCGGTACTGAAAGGGTTAAATTGCGTAGTTTGGATGAATCTGGAGATACGAGAGAATTCGTGCGACTGTTATTATTACATATTTTCGATTATTTCTGGAAGTAACGATAGCGTTATATCTACCTTCTGAATTTGAGGCGATCGCGCGAGTCGTCTGTATCGAAAGTGGCTCCAAAATTCGCGTCAAATTTTGAGAGTTTTGTCGAAATATATGACGTCATCTATGCAATATTTCACTTAATTCATTTATGCTCAACTGGCTGTCAAAAATTCATTGCACATATAAGTTATATTTATTTTTAATATTATATAATATTTAAGATAGAAGCAGAGAAAGAGTTGTATCGATATTAAATATATATATATATATATATAAATTTATATATAAGTTAATATCGATTATAAGATACGATATCATTATAATGTGCAATTAAACATGTTTTTTTAAATTCTCTATTCGATCAATTTAAAGTTGAAATATTATAATTTTAACAATGTATGTTTTTAAGAAAAATCTGTTTTACAAATTATTATACTATATAGTAGAAATATTATATTTTTATTTGATTTTTCGCATATGTAGTTTTATATTATGAGGCATTTCCGGGCATAGATGAATTAAATTCGTCGCGTTAGCCTCTTGTCGCATCTTCGAGATAAACGGCTCGCGCGCAAAGATGCTCGCGAAATATTTCATTTGCTCGAACAAGTCTCGAAATCGTTGCACTTTTCGAAAATGGAAGGAATGTTTGAAAAAAAAGAGAAGAGACGTTATATTATAATATGGGAGAGAGGGTGGAAGTTTTTTTGACTGTGATAATAGGATCGTGAATGCGTGCTTGTATTAGCACGGTTGCGCTTAATTCTTTAAAAAGAAAAGAATGTTACATTTATATATAAGAAGAAATACATACAAGTACATATGTGTACAGAAAATGCGATTTATTCGAGAAAAATATGCGATGCGTTAAGAGGATCATTCGAAGATCTTCCTGCGAAGAAAGAAAAGCATTGATAAGCGCAACCGTGCTCTCTTCGAGCTGAATATGGGATCTAAGAGAAGTGCTGTTACATTAATTAGCTATATTTATAAAAATGTAAAAAGAAAGAGAAAAGTAGAGTTTGGAAGAAATTAAACTCTTAAGTGTCTTCTATAATACATTGATGCATTGTTTCGTTAATTATATAAATGGGATATACAAACGGTATTTCGGTATTACTTTAAGTTTCGATCTTTTATTTAACATTACCATTATCGTTAGATTTTTATTTTATCGATTGATTTACATGGAATATTTTATTGTAACTTGCGCAAGAAACGAGGTGACACGACACCATTTAATTCAGAACTTATTTATTTTTTTTTTCACGAAGACATAGGACGGGGCAAGCAATATTCCTTTCGCATGTCTAGATTGGAAATGTGTACAACTTGACTTTGTACGGAATGAATATTCCGTTGATGCGACTTACAACTAACGTTTGATCATAAAAAGAGATGTATGACTCATATATGTCATTATTAAAGACTCATTAGAAGAAGGCGGAAGTGCTTTGATATATACGCCAAAAAAATGCGACTACACGCACGAGAAGCAGACTTGTGAATCGCTTTGCCGGAAAATCTTTAAACGATATTTTACAAGCCCTACATCTCTGCAACACACTCGTATAAATACTTGGAATTTTTAATCTTTCGATCCATATCGCACATATATTTGGACGACGTAGATCGATTTTGCGATTTGTTTTATCATTTAAATGATAAGATGAAGCTGATTAATCGTTTACGAAAAAGTTAGCAAGAAACGATAACAAGAAAGAAAATTAAGACGAGTCAACAATGATATGCTGTTTCTTTGATCGTAATCTTTGAAGCCTAAAATTATTTTAAGGAAAAATAAATTTAAGTTTAAGAAAAAAATCTGTCCGTTATAAATATTTATAATTAACATTATTAAAGTGAAGTTTAAAAAAAAGTTTAGATATTATTTTTTTTTTATTTTTGACGAAGTTAATGAAGATAAAGTGCAATATTTGAAAAGAGTTTAATTAAAAAGTTCAATTAAAAAAAAGGAAAAATGGGAATAAAATAAAACTTGTAATTTTTATTATATTTATTTTTTATACAGCAAAGAACCGGATTTACTGGAGCAAATTTGTACTGGAAATCATTAACGGCTATCAATTTTGAAAGAGAATTTGGAAAGAATGTCGAAATGTTTGCGAGGATCATAGCCAATAAACGCGAAGCGAGCCAAGTCCTGTGCCAAAAGATTTGGTAGAAATTGAGCGAAAAATCCTTAATGAAAATGCGCTTGTCCCTGTTGATTGTCGTGCGCTCGTACAGCTTTTCCGCCACATTAGGAAATTGATGTTTAAAAAAACCTGCTACCTAGAGAAAAGTTGTAACGAATTATAAGAAATGTTTTTCACACAATGGAATGGTATTATTTACAAGATATCGATCATCGATTTGTGATTATTCGTAGAAAATTAAATTTTTTTCAAAACGATTATCTACTCATGTCAATATTTTGTAAGCCAAATAATTGTTTTTTTTTTTATACACAAATCATATCTCTTATACGATTTTATATTTTTCATATTTCTAGTCAAAAATATTATTTAATATATTAATATATAATATAATTATAAATATTATTTCTTTTTACAAAAGAGTGTAAAAATGATGGAAAGATTTATAGGAAGTTTATTATGTAAAATTACAAGTATATAATTTTAAATTGGATTTTGATTTCAGATAGCACATATGTTTAATTTCATAAATTTACTTTATTTTTTTTTCTTATTTAGTTTTTAAAAGAGTTTTTTCTTTACTCATAATTATGTTAATTTTTTGCAAATAATTGCAATTTGATGATTCGATATTATATTATGAATCGCGGCAAGAAGGAAATTTTTTCCGTACGAACAACGCAATTCGTAGAAGCCGCGGTGAAGTATGAGAGTTGTGATGATTGAAAAATGCGAAAGACGCGATGAATCCCCGATCCGGAAATTATCCGAAGCGAGTGTTGCGTTAGTTAATTGTATTGCGTAGTCGGTAGTACACTTATCCCTCGTTCTTGTTTATATATGACTGCTACTTGCCTTATCGTAATGTTTTTAGACATTTTAGATGGGTGCTCAACACGCAAAATCCGTTTATTTAAGGATATACAGGTGTGTGTATGCGCGGCGAGATTAATACTAAAGATGCGTGCTTCGTGTATCGAATTAAATTATTAAAGGTCTCACCCGATATAGTTTTCATTTGCAAAGTTAGATGATAAATTTGCAATTTAGAATGACTATCTAATAACAGGCAGCTAAAAAATATGAGGAATTGCTCTACATCTATAATATAATGTACATTAATTTATATTTTTAAAAGCTTACAGTTGCAATTTTCCCACACATATAATAATTTTATATCCTCTTGAAAATATTTATAAAAAATATTGATGTAAAATACAAATGTCAAATTCATTTTCTTAATATATTAAAATAAATATTAAGTTCTTTATATACATGTTTATTTTTTTAAAATGAATTTATATAAAGAAATGATATTGAGAATACAAAGAATGGAATCAAAGAGGTAGCAATTTATTTAAAAACTGCTAACTAAAAGATTGTATCGTGCGAAAGGCCTTTAATGCAATATTCGAAGCGCGCAGATGGAAATTTGTTAAAGATAAAATTGCGCGGCTGTAGAGAAAAAGAGAAAAAGAAAGAGATTCGTGCCCGCAATTACTGAAGATCTCGCAATTGTTGCGCGCACGCGATGACTCGCGGATGGCGAGAGGGAATCCAAAAACTACAGACCAATAATTTACTACGTAATTTGTGTAGCTCGATACACAGAACGCAAATAAATTTGTGAAAACGTCAAATCGTCGTGTACGAACAGACCACCACCTCGCCCATACCAGTCCAATTAACCCTGTTTCCTTCCATGCATTTCTCGTTGTCGGCGAATAATCGGTAAACATTGACCGCAACATTCACTATCCGAGAACCTGTGGTTTATCAAGTTAATTACCACTGCATTGTAGTTTGATAAGATACAGAGTCCTCCAATTAATTTTATCTCGCAAGAATAATTTTGACCTTATTTTCTTTTGCGCATTTTAGGGTCGATAAAACTCCAAGTAATAATTTTTATTTAGTTTTATTTTAATGTAATATTTATAATCTTCCACTTTATAAAGACTTAGTAAAGTATAGAAAAAAATGGTGTCGAGAAAGGAAGATAACTGACGAATTAAATTATTAAAGGAATAAACAATTAATCTTAGCTTTTTTATATTATATTATATTAAATTTCACATGTTACTTAATCATAGTTTTCTTATAAATTACATTTATAAAAATAATATCAGCAAAAAAACTTTATATTTTTATATAAATCTAAGTTTGAATCGAAAATTTATGAAACGATTTAAAAAAATAATTTTTCTACACATATATCTTTTCTTTAAGTTTAAAATTATGTTTATGTTAAGAAAATAAAGAAAGTAAATTTATAAAATATATGTTCTTGCATATTCACGAAATTTAATCGAAGTAATTTGTGAAAATTATAGCGTTAATATATAATTTTCGTATCTTTGAGAAAATCACTTATATATTCAATGAATACTTTCGATAGATAAATATTTAGTATTAATAAATATATATCAGGAATGTGTTAATCAAGTTTTCGTTTACACTCACACAGATTTACATATAATGTTTTTCGGCTCGTATCGTCGACTCAGTCACTTGGAAATCTAAAGGCTATTTCCAAAGGTTATCGTGTAGTGGGGATTCTGCGATTACATCGTAGGAAGCTCATATAAGAAGCAGGATGCGTTTTGCAGACGTCAGTTTGTGGTGTAAATTCTAAATCGATCGTTGATCGTGGATATTCCCTTCGTATTGTATCATTGATTTTTAATATAAGGTTAGTTTAAATTTTATTTTTTGTATAATAAGACAATTGATTTTTTTCTACGTAGAAAAAGAAATCATTTCTTGAAAAAAAAAATAAAAAAATAAAATCTGTGTAAAATTAATTGTTATAATATATAATAAATTTAAAAATGGTAAGTATTTTCACATTTCTCTTTTTTAATAGTCTTTTTAATAATTTTATAACATTTATAGATTATATTTTATAGCTGTTTATTACTTTCTTTTTTATTTGTTCCACTAATTAGTAAATGTATAAAAAAAATTGCTCATGTATTCATACGATTATACATTTTCAGTTATTAAGAAAAATATATCAAGTTTCATTTTTTTGTTAGATTATTTCGAATTAATTTTCTCTGATAAATATCTTTGTTTTGCTTGGATTATTTAATTCTTGGTTTTTATATATTGTTTGAAAAATATAAAAAATCCAAGTAATCCAAATTTTAGTATCCTTAATATATTTTTCTTTATTCATTGCATTTGAAATCTGCTGTTTATTTTTTTGAGCCTATGTTGATCATTTATAACATTTATTTGTAATACTGCTTTAAATAATCAAGGTAGGATCCGCTAAGAAAGAGCAAGATTTGTTAAGATTACAAAGTAAATAATCATTTTCAAACAAAATGAAGAAACATGAAAAGCACGTATCTTATGTAACATGATTTATTCAAATGAGGGAGATTTTATCCTAGAATACCGGTTTCGTTTCTGCAATTGAGATATAATAATATACAAGAGAACTCGTCGAATAGGAATATACAATACATGAGTCGCAACACATATTATTACACTGTAATGTGGAATCCCGCGTTTCACCTGTGGAGAGGCCAGATCGCGTGAATCAGCGAGATCGAGGTCGCTTGTCGTGATCGAATCCCTTTACGGGATGTCATCGTGCGGGATTTTTGCCGGACCTTTACGCAATGCGTCCCGGATGAATCAAAGTTGGATGATTCCGGCTACTCATGCGGTTTGAGAATGTGCCTTGGTATTTAAGTATAGCCTTGCTATAAAAGCAGGAATATTGCACAACTACGACCGATGCATCGATCGCATTATGCACTGTAAAAAAAGTATGTCAAATTACACATATAATCAGTGTAACAATTACGCTATTTATAACGGAAATATATAAATTCATGTACTTTTACAAAAATTAGTTTTTTTACTCTTTATTGTGTAAATATTCGTTTATATTTGATGAGAAATTATTAAGTTAAAAGTATAATTTTTGGATTTTATGTAAATGTACAATTTTTTGTAACATTTATATAAAATTTAAAAATTACACTTAATAAACGAATATTTACACAACAAAGAGTAAAATAACTAATTTTTGTAAAAGTACATCAATTTATATATTTTCGTTATAAATAGCGTAATTGTTACACTAATTATGTATGTAATTTTAAATTAAATTTAATATGTGAAATTGTATAAATACATATACAAAATGTATTATTACATAAACATTTCTAGAAATCTACTTCTAACATGTAAATTTATTAGTACAAGATGCTTACTTACCATTTAAGATAATAATTTTATCTATGAAATGTAAATTTACTAATGTATGTAAATATAGACCTTTAATAGATTTGATCTTAATATTACCCACTATAATAATTGTAAATTTACACAAAAATTTTTTACAGTGTGCTTTACTTCCATATAAAATCTGTATCTTTAATTAACTTCTTTAAGAGAGCATTTTTTTCTTTGTATATATTTTTTTATATCTTCTAAATATATTTGTACTATAGATGTGTTATTAAAAATATTAAATTATTTATAATATAAATTAAATTATTTATAAATTATTTATAATATATTTTAATTAAATTTGAAGATTTTTTAATTTACAAATGAAAGAACAATTTTTTAAAAAATTCTGAAAAGAAAAGAGATTTTACTATTTTTAATATTTTTTTTCTCAAGAATAAGACTTTATAAGACTTCCTGGTTTCTCTAGATGTCATTCGAGGAACCGCTTGTGGTGGATACAGTGCACTTGTATGAGAAGGAGAATGCTGAAGCCCATCACACTTTCAACTTTGAGATGGTTCATCAGGATCCGGCGATCCCGGTCCTCCGACGCGGACAGCCCTTTAATATGGCTCTGAGATTTAACCGCGAATACGTAGATGAGACCGACATCGTCCGGCTACTCTTCAGTTTCGGTCCGAATCCAAACGTATTAAGAGGTACCAGGGGGGTGAACACGGTGACCAACAATGATGCCTTCGTGACTGATCTGGAAGCTTGGGGGGTACGATTGATCAGCTCTCATGGGATGGATCTTTCCGTCGAGGTCAGGAGCCCGATCGATAGTCCCATCGGAGTATGGCAATTGAACGTAGAAACCAACACCCTGGGCAGAAAGAAAGCGCCGAATACTTATAGTTATGACAAGGATATCTATCTATTGTTCAATCCATGGATGAAAGGTACGCGATTAAAAATGCAATCAATGTCTGAGGACTACGGAAGAGACGTTTTATCAATATTTTTTAAATGAAGAAATCTTGTTAGATATAAAATATAAGAATACAGATATAAGAAGATAAAGAGAAGACAATTTTAAAAAAGATAATAGTCATGGAATTATCAGCATTAAATATTAAACAAATTTAACAAGTTAATATCATCAATATTTTAATTCATAGAATTTTGGAAAATTTAATAATTAATGTTTTTATCTTTCTAAATATAATTATTACAGAGGATTTGGTGTTTATGGAAGACGAGCAATTGCTCGATGAATACATCCTCAACGACGTCGGGAAGATATGGGTAGGTCCATGGGGTAGTTCTCGCGGCAGAGAATGGGTTTTTGGGCAGTTTGATGCATGCATACTTCCAGCTTGTCAGCTGTTGCTAGAGAGATCCGGTATTAAGGCGATTTCCAGAGGCGACCCGGTCAGGATGACTCGAGCAATCTCCAGAATCGTAAGACATGCTTTTATTTAGTCTTACAAATCTCTTTTAACGTTGACATAAATATCAATTTGTTGACATATCAATACGTTAATTCGTTTAAATTATATTGGATTTTAATTATAATCGGAAAATATTTGAAAATTTTAATTATAATCGGAAATTTTAATTTCAATAATCAAAAATAAAATTCTAATTTTAATTATAATCGGAAAATATTTGAAAATTTATTAACTATATTGTGTGTATGTATGTATTACAATATTAAAAAAAAGAGAAACGGTGAAAAGTTTACGCATATCTATGCATTTTATTTTTTTACACATGCAATACACATTTCCTCTACAATATTCCTTCTTTTATTTCAATTAGATTTAAAAATCAATAATTACACAATTTATATGTAATTAATAAATTTCCTTCTTCTATTGCTTTTAGATAAATTCCAACGACGATAAGGGTGTAATAACCGGTCGCTGGGACGGTCAGTACGAAGATGGTACCGCGCCGGCTGCCTGGACCGGAAGCGTGCCTATCCTAGAGCAATTCTGGGAGACCGGCAGTGAGGTCAAATACGGTCAATGTTGGGTCTTTGCCGGTGTCGTGACCACGGTGTGTCGCGCCCTGGGGATCCCGTCGCGAGTGGTGTCCAACTTGGTGTCGGCTCACGACGCCAACGCTTCATTGTCGGTAGATCGTTATTATGATCTGAATAACGAGGAACTCGAGTACGATCCCAACAACCCGGTGGGCGAGGATTCCATTTGGAACTATCATGTATGGAACGACGTATGGATGGCGAGACCAGATCTACCCAAGGGTTACGGAGGCTGGCAGGCCATCGATGCCACTCCGCAGGAACAATCGGACAACTTTTATCAATGCGGACCAGCGTCGGTGGAGGCTATCAAGGAAGGCGCCGTGGGTTATAACTATGATGTGACCTTTATGGTAGCATCCGTGAACGCGGATCTGATGAGATGGAAGGAAGATCCGGAGAGCGATCTGGGATACTCCAAGATCGATTGCAATAAATATCAGTGAGTATACGGTAATATTATATTTACCATTATTAAAAGTAATGTTTTTGGATCGTACATTTTGTAAGATTAAAAAATTGTACTAGAAATTAAATCCCTTATGAATATAAAAATGTAGAACAAGAGAAATGTAGGAAGAACCGAATACATTCAGAGAACAGATTTTTTTATTGATCACATTAATATTATATAATAAAAAAGTTATATTGAGCGTAAGAAAAAATATTATATCAAGAAATAAATCATGTATTAAAATTTAGCAAATTAAGTTTAGAAGTTGCAAATTAATTTATGATAATTATTTTTATTTTATTGAATTTATCATCGTTGAATTTTATGAGAAGGAATAAGAGAAATTATTTGATCGATGTTTCCTGAAGACAATCGTTGTTTGATTGTCAAATTCACACGTAGAATAATTAACGTCGAGTGTGTTTCAAAGAATACCTTTTTATATTCCATACGATATTCTCTTGCGATGATTTCATTCATCGATAATGCATTCGTTAATGAACCACGACACAGACAAATTCGTCTCGCGCACGGACATAAATAACTATGACAATCCGACACGTGAAATATAGAAAAACGAGTCAGAAGAAGGTAGAGACAAATGTCAATGATGAAAACGGAAATGCAAGCCTTGTGCTATTTGTGGATCCTGCAATTCGCAATTACAATGCATTCTTCGATGCGTCATAAACTGTTTATTCGTGATTTGCATAATTTTTGTAATGCTGAAGCATTTCTACGAATTTCGACACTAAATGTTAATGCGAAACGCAAACATAAATGACAGACTCAATTGTCATAAACATTTGTATAATTAATCATTTGTTATCTTCTTCTTGCGCGTATCTCATCTCTCGTAAGAGTTTTCGGTAAAAAGTACATTTTATATATTAAAAAGAACATTTTATTTTATTTTATTTTATTTTACGAATTATATTAAAAAGAACATTTTTTCATGTCTATAATATTAATTAATAATATAATGTCATTTTAATAATTTTCTAAATTATCCGCGTACCTTTTTCTTCTTGAAGCAGCAACAACAACTGATCTTAATACAAATAAGAATAAAATTTTATGTCACGTTATTTTGCTACATTTATTTTCGTAAATACCAATATAAATTATTTTTGCAGCATCGGCCGAATGATCCTGACGAAGGCGCCGTGGATTTTTGATCCCAATGGAGACAAAGACAGACAGGACATAACGTCGATCTACAAGGCCAAGGAAGGTAAATGAAACGCAAATAAATTACCTTACATATATCTTCAGCATCTGACATATTATTCTCTATTTTAATGTGGAAGGAAAACTTTGTTGCATAGCAAGACTTGTTGGATAGAAATAAATCTCGCATAGCTTGCTGCAATTTTACCAAAGAGCGCTCTATCTTAAAAACTTCCCGTCAAATCTGGACCTCATTTTTTGGATAGTCGATTATGATATATCATTCTAATTTTCCCCTACTTTTTAGGTACCGAAGTTGAGAGATTGACCTTGTACAGGGCGGTGCGCAGCACCGAGATGGCGAAGAGGTTCTACTCGCTGCCATCGCCGGGCAAGGAAGACGTCGAGTTCGATCTCGTCGAGCTCGAACGCGTCAACATCGGCGAGCCATTTGCTGTAACCGTGAACATAAAAAACAAGTCCAATGAGGCACGTACTATCCAGGCCATCCTATCTGCCGGCAGCGTTTACTATACCGGAGTTAAAGCGAATCTTGTGAAGAGAGCGTCCGGCGACTTTGCGCTTCAACCGAACGCCGGTGAGATATTTTTTCCATGTTTTTTTTTCCTAAACGCTCGCGGCAAAAGGCAATTGACGTTGCTCGAAGATTGCGTCAACGTTAAGATGGACATAAAAACATTGATTTGTCAAGGCGATGGTCCTTGAGTAGTAAGTAATCAAAGCTCTCTGAAAAATTACGACACATTTAAGCGAGACTAAATAATTAAATTAAATAAATAATGTTTGTTAACTCATTTGATTGCAAGAGCAAGATAGAATTTTTAATGAAGCAAGGTAATTATAAATGTATCTAAAATATATAAACAAAATCATTAAATTTATATCATTTATTATTTTATCGATATGAAAACTAGTGTCTCCGCATTATCGAGAGAAATAATTAATGAGCTTGTCTAACTTGTCATTGGAATTCTTAGATAATAAAGGTTCAATAAGCATTCAATCAGCGAATAAGAAAAAAATCTAATAGCTTTTATTACGTTGTTATCTTTTTACAATAATTAACTTGATTGAACTGCGCGTTTGCGATAATATCAGAATTCTGTAATTCTTGCGTTTAAATCCATTACAGTTGAACAGTTAAGACTTTCGGTGACGGTGAACGATTACTTAGACAAATTGGTGGAGTACTGCATCATGAAGCTGTATTGCATCGCTACAGTCAAGGAAACTCGGCAAACCTGGGCGGACGAGGATGATTTTCAGGTCTTAAAGCCGAATATCAATGTCAAGGTACAATCAGAAATACAGAATCATACTCGAAATTTTTAAAAAAATTTTCAACTATATCTTTTTATTAATGTCTTTCCTATTGTGATTTTTAAAATATTTATCAATTTTTAAATATTTGAATATTGTGAAATATTATCGTTACATATTATTAAATTTATTAATTATCTGTAACTATATCTAATTATAAGTTCTATTTGATTTGCACTTCTATAATTTCATAATTTTTTTACTTTTGAGAAAGCATTTTTTTTAAATACTATTTTTAAATTCTACTCTTTGAATATGTATATCTCTTAATTTGATGTAACATATATTAATTAGATTCAATTATATTATTTTCAAAAAGATAATCATTTATCTTCTGCATTTTATACATTCAAAAATATTCATGCGTACAAATTATCTAAAAACTTTTCGCTTATAAATCGTCTCTGCAATATCATAGATCGAAGGTGAACCAGTTGTCGGACAACCATCAACCATCATACTAAACTTTAAAAATCCATTGAAGAGAAGTTTGACCAACTGCCAGTTTAATTATGCCGGACCTGGTCTCTCCAGGAACAAGACTCTAGCCTTCAGAGATGTTGAACCTGAAGAGGACGTTTACGTAGAACATCAGCTTGTACCGCAAAAACCTGGAGAGCAGAAAATAATTGCTACTTTCACCTCCAAGGAATTAGTCGACATCACCGGTTCTGCAACTGTTGACGTCCTTGAGGCTGAATAAATAATGATCAGTCAAGTTCGACCTTAATTTAAAGTATCATGCTGATATCCGAGTGCATTTTATCAAATCGCGATGCAAATATTTTTTACTCTCCAAGTATTATATGTTTCATTGATATTTCTCACAAGTCCGTCATATAAGCAATTTGCATTAATCAATTTCAAATATTATCTGTAGTATTAATATATCAATAATAGATTAAGCGTCAATGAAAGTAATATGTGATGGAAAAGCCAATGAGAAATTAGTATTTCAAAAGTGAAGGACATAAAATACATAGCGTATCGAAATAAATGATATAATTTTTTCATATTAATACATTTTTATCATATAAGTATTTTTTCAGAATATTTACCCGTTTACAAAAGAAATTTTCTTACAGTTTTCTATATTTATAAGTTTATATTTTTGTAAAATATTGAAACGTCCAATAAATGAATAAAAGAAATATATACTAAGATAGAGAGATATAAATATAAAAAATTAGAACCAAAGAGAATATAACACATGTGAACGAATATTAATAAAAAATCAATGTCATATTGCACATGAAGAAAAACTATGAAAATAACGTTAATTATATATAGAAAGATTACATCGCAGGATCGCATTGAAACGAAAATTGCAAATACCAAAATACTATGGAATACAAAATACAATAAATGAGAGCCAACAAATTCCCGCACGAGATAACCGAAGAAGTTTTTTCTGTCATGGGAAGTGCTAAAGTTTTAATCGTTCCTGTGGCGTTAAAATCTTTATCATCATTCTCATCTTCTTTCGATTCTAAAATCTCGAGCGCGTACTCCTCTTGCATGCCCTGTAGGGCATGGCCCACTTGGCCCACCAGTTCCGCCAACAACTTCAGTTTTTCTTTATTCACATGTTCATAATAATTAGCTAATGATAATTTTTGTATTGCAGATTCATACACTTGATCGGAGTTGCTGCTAGAAGAACATGTTGAAAATCCGTCGATATCTTCGTCATTAGCCGCATCGAAGCGACAATACTTTGCGTCGCATTCGGATCTTTTTCGATTCTTAATTTCGCAATTTTCGAGAGAAACACATTTTTCGACGGTCTCAAAATCCTCAGTTTCTTCTTCTCGTTTTTTAGTTTCCTTCGATATTAAATTTTCGTAGTATATAATGATGGCTTTACGAAGATTGAGCGTGCGCTCCGCTGCAAGTTCGAAAGCTGCAATTACGTCACTTGGTATATTCAATTCTGACAAGACTATATTTCCATGCAGAGTGTCGTTTTCTACGATATCCTCGAACGAGGAGGCTAAAAATAGATTATTTACTGAATCACTGGAATATTTGACGGATGCTTGTCGCGTATCAATATTCATTTTATCGTCAAAATTTCTAGGTAATTTTAAAAAAGTTTGAGAATTCTCGTCTATTATTTTTTCTTCATCTGTGATAAAACTTGTCATTTTTGCTGGAGTTTCTTCCATTATGTCATAATCTTGTAATTTCAAAATTGTTTCTGTACTCGAACTCTGTTTGCATTCGCTGAGTGAAAATTCCTTGCTCTTATCAGAATATTTATCTTCAATATTGTTTTCAGTATGCATAATAGATTTTGTATGAATTGAAACATCTTCTAATGTCAGTGTTTTATCTTCAATCGCTGTTGAATCAATATCTGCTTCTGAATTTGTCAAGTCTATCAAATCACAGGAAACTTCCGCATCCTTGCAAATGGCATTATAATGCGTCGTATTGCAACCGGTTTCAATGACATTGTTACAATTTAATGATTGCATTGAAATTTCAGTGAGCTTTAAAATTTCCGTCAAATCGAGATCTTTTTCTGTTTGCGTACTGATCGATTTGCAAACTAATTGCTCAAAAGATAGACCCGGCTCATCAAAATGTTTATTATTAATAAAATCTGCCTCATCGTTCCGCGAAATTTCCTTAGAAACGTCACGAATTGACTGCACTTGGAGCCTGTCGTCATTTTCTTTGTTGTTAAAAACATCAATAATAGGTATATTCATGGCGTTTTCTTTTATATCTTCATCCTCTCTTGTACTATCAATAATTTCTTTCAATGCATGGATTACTTCCAAAGGTCTTGATCTTCTGCTGTGATTCGCGATAGACTCAGTATGACTCTGTTCATTCCAATTTCGCGAAGATCTTCTCGGTGTAACCGTTTGATAATAACGCGATCTCGATTTCGACCTTGATCTTGTCGGATTTGCATTGTTATAATTATTCGAAGTCTTTGAATTAACTTTGATAATCGAGCGTCTTTTCTTCGGTAATGTTCCTTCGCTTTGTAGTCTTTGTCGCTGTTTCGTTTCTCTGTAATAAAATTGTGATATATACATATTATTTAAATACTTGGAAATATATATGGAAGATAAAAGATTCCTTACGTGAGATGTTCGCAAATTTTCGTTACGCAATTTGCGCAAGGATCTCGGTTCTCCTTCATCAACATCTTGGACTGATTTACGGATATCAATGTAGCCATAGGTTCGCTATTAAGCGTTCTAAATTTGATCGTAAAAAATAGAATACATTGAGTATAAAACTTTTCATATACATGTAACTGTCATAATCGTTATATATAACGCAAAAGCTTTAAAATTATATATATATATATATATAGTTTTATATATTATAATTATTTTATATATTATAATTTTATATAATTATAAAATTATATATATATATATATATATATATACATATATATATATATATATAGTTTTATATATTATAATTATTTTATATATTATAATTTTATATAATTATAAAATTATATATATATATATATATACATATATATATATATATAATTTTAAAATTATATATTAAAAAATTATAATATTAAAATTATATATATAATATTAAAGCCATAAAAATTATATTTTAAATTTATATAAAAAAGAGCGAAAAATTTCACGATTTAGAAATGTAAGAATAAAAAATGAAAATTTAATAGTTTAACAATTTTGCATAAAAAGCTCAATATTTAGGAATTATATAGAAATATTTCTGGAGAAGTTTGTTAGTTCTCTCTTAAGAAATAATCTGTACATACAAGACGACACATTTTAAAAACATAATTCCATAAACAAGTTTTAATATAAAACAAAAAACAGTTAAAAAGATTTATTTACTTGATAGGTTTAATCGACGAATATTTGTTCTCTGTCGAAGCGACGTATCTGTCGGTAGATCGAGACCATTTTTGCGATGTTGGTTGCGTTAAAGACGTTGTGCTCTTTACAATCGAAGATCTAGTGATACCGGGTGGCCTCCAAACTTGTTGATTGGTAAAACCGAGATTCCCTTGAAAACCGCTTTTTCGGGTAGCATAATTCATAACTGATCTGTCATCTTTATTCTGTGAATTATTGACATGTCTCGTGAATTTAAAGTTTCGGGAACATTGTAAATCAGCGTTATACGTCTGATCGGTATCAACGTATCTTGTTTCAGCTTTCCTGATCGCCCAAGTTCTTCGATTTCCACGTCGAAATGCATATTTACGATCTATTGGGGCATTGTTTACGTTTGCCGGCATACTTTCCCGATGAATTTGCGCAGAGCAATCCTCGTTCGAAAAGTCTTCTACAAGTCTTTCCGAAGATTTGCTCGGTCGACGATGAAGGACTTTGACTTCGCGGCGCGAGTTTTTCGCGAATTTTTCTTCCTCCTCCCTTGACTGCGATTGACGTGCGACATCCACAGCCGTGCGATCTTGAACATTGTCGCGAATATTTTCAATATTACTTTGAAGAAACGGAGACAAGCAACTATCCATATATCCCATTTTTTCCTGAAGAGCGTGCGAGTCTTCCACGTGCTTGTCAAGCTGATCAACAACTTTCGCCGGTTCGCTACGAGAAACCACCGATTTAGCCGGACTTGCCGGACATTTTTTCAGATCTCGAGAAACGTCTTTGATCACGTCGCTCGAGAAAAAAACGAGCGAATTCTCCGCACATTCACAGACTCCCTGTTTTCCCGTTAACTCGCTATCCTGAAGAAAACCAGATGCACGATGATCCTTCTCCCGTTTCTTGAGGATCGTCACAAGGGTCCGCATACTCTTATTTTGTTTTGAAACGCTGCGTCTCTTGTAAATTCCGCTCTGTCTTTTGTAGGCGATGTTTTTTTGCGATCTCTTCGACGCTCTCGCGTTCCTAATCGAAGACGACTTATTTAGGTTTATCGGCGTCCGTGTCTTCATCAACGACGATAGCGTGTGGCTGGCGAATCGTGGTTGAAGGCACGTTTCGCTTCCAATTGTCTCAAATTTCGCAGATGATACCTTCCTCGCGAAGTTCACGGACTTTTTTCTCCCTTCAAGTTTTGTCATTTTCTCGCTTGACGACATTCTTCCGTCTTGTCAAAGAATCAATCGTCGAAGGGATAGTAATCTCGTCTTCCTTAGCCGTATTTTTTTACAATACTTTCTGCATTTAAAATAAAACAATATAATAGATTCCGTTTGTATAATCGTGCTTCTTGTTTCGTCGCATTTTTCTCTCTCTCTCTCTTCTCTTCCTCCTTGAATTTTTTGAATGTTTATCTTATTTCAATGTTGATCTTATTTCAATAAATAATATCTTAATTCAATAATGTAATTGATTTTATTTAAATAAATTTTTTATTTAAATAAATGCTAAGAAAAAAAATAAAATTCTTACATTAGTGATATTTTTATTGATATCTTAAATTAGTATGAAAAAAGTTTATTAAAACATATTTTACTACATAATAATTAATGATGTTATGTTTATATTATTGAAAAATGTAGTGTCAAATTGTTGCTCTCTCTTTATTCTACAAAGATAGTTAACCTTTCATTTGACCTTGTAACGTTATAAAAAATACAACGATTTGTATTTATATTTTGTTAGTATTTTTATTTTATTTAAATAAATGCTAAGAGAAAAAGAATGAAATTCTTACATTAACGACATTTTGGTGGATGTCTTAATTATTGAGACAAAAGTTTATTAAAACATATCTCACTACACAGTAATAAATGATGTATATGTTTATATTATTGAAAAATGTAGTGTCAAATTATTATTTTCTGTTTATTCTACAAAGATAGTTAACCTTTCATTTGACTTTACATCGTTATAAAAAATACAACGTACGATTTGTATTAATATACTTTTTTAGTATTTTTAATAATATACTTTAACTCTTTATTTATAAAGCAAATTGATACGTATATAGATAAATGACACGAATTATTTTTTTATTTTTTCAGAAAAATAAAAATTAAGGGTTATATAAGCTATCTCGATCATATTATATACATATCGCTAATATAATACTTCCAATACATGTTACTCATTTAGAAAAAGAAAGAGAGAGAAAGAAGAATACCGAAAATTGTGTAAAAAATGTAATCGAGAATCCTGTATATATATATATATATATATATATATATACGTACCTATGAATTCTAAAACACTAAAGTTTTGATCAATGAGAGATTTTGCGATCATGCACAGGTATTCGCGAGAAAATTTGCGAACAAGAAATCTCGACCACGAAAAACGAAACTAGCTCGAACGAAATTACTACGAAAATACAAAAGTCAATTCATGTTAAGCATGATCCTGTAATTTGGCGGTAACACAAGTATACCCGAAGAACGTTAGTTTCAGACTGACTTTCGTATGTTTGAACGTTAAGCTTCATGCATGATCTATTGTTTGGGATCATTCGATTCGCTTGCGTATGCTTTGTCCTTTATCGAGATCAGCCAATTAGCGGAGGCCAAAGTAAAGTTACGTCCTATGAAGTCGATTTTGTAACGCAACTAAGATGCATCTAAAATGTATATTATATACACAATGATATGTCTAAAATGCATTATACATACACAAATTATCATTAATTGTTTATAATTATGTGATGAAATTTATCGAGAAATCTGAAAAATAGTTACATGTAAAGAAAAATTTTAAGATAGATCCTGTGTGATGTTGTAAATATAAAATTAACTCAAAGGTACATATATTCATCTTTTGCATTATAGAATATTTAAAGAACTTACGAAATAAATGAAAGATCACTATAAGTATTTTAGACTTTTTTTATTGATTTGTAAACATTTTAAGATTCAATCGATTCACTGTTGTGTGGGTGCCGATTGGCTTGAAGATTTGGAATCGCGCATAGAGGCGCTACGCCTTCGCTTGAGTTCTTCTTGACGTCTGTTCTTGGCCTCCTTCTGTCTCTGCGCCAGCAGTTTCGCGTATTCCGCCGCCTGTTCCTTGCGGGCCAAGCAACGCTTCTTCTTCAAGGCCAATCTATGTCTCTTTCTCTGTAAGTATTCAGTAAAACATTTTTCTATTTTATTTTTTATTAACTTAACTAGTTTAATTGATTTAATTTTAATAATCTCAATATTTCTCCGCTATATATATCGAAATATATGTATTTATCGAATGTATTAAATTTGTTTACAAAAAATTATATACCTGTAGAACGATTGGAGTGATCAGACGCTGAATCTTCGGCGCCTTAAATCGCTCCTTCTTTCCTTCTTTTTGTACTGGTCGTTTTACTACAAATTGTCGTACATCATCCTTCTTCGAAAGATTAAAGAGTTTGCGAATTTTGCTCGCTCGCTTTGGTCCCAGACGACGCGGTACGTTCATGTCCGTCAATCCTGGGATTTCCTACGGTTCATATCATGATATTAAATCATTAAATTTATTAAACCTTAATAATTATTGAACCTATATTATTATGAATTTAAATTGAAGGGACTCTGTGATTTTTAATTATTTTTAGAATTTAGAACTATGTAATATAAATTTTTATTATTTGTTCTGTTTGAGCTAAATTAGTAATAATAATTAATGTTCCGTTCGTACACTGAGAAAAAGCATAAAATAAAGCAGCAATTTCCCAAATCAAAAAACGAATTTTATCTTCCATGCGTACGATAGTATTTCAAGAAAATTGAATATTATCTTAAATACACCCTGAACAGCATGGGTTTCTAGCATTCAATGAAAGAGAAAATAATAGCTAATAGTTTATACCTGTTTTCCCTTCCTTACAATGACAAGAGCTAATACAGATAAATTGGAATCTACAATGCAACCGCGAACGGATTTACGCTTGCGTTCACCATCACGCCTGGGTCTGTAGCAGGAATGTCCCTTCGATAGCAGTAAACGTACACGACCTTTAAGTAAATAGTATTTCATATTATATTAATTAAAATATAAATACATAAAATTAAAATTAATTACAGCTTCAAAAAAAGGTAAATGTGATGTCGAGATTTCTATCAAGGGGGCAATAATTTAAATATAAACCAAAATTCTATTACTTTTTTAAGAAGTAACGGATTAATACGATACTTTAGAAAATACATATTATTATAAATATATAAAACAAATGTATCAACCTACCATTTGTCAGGACACCCTGTTTCATGGGGAAACCTTGCTTGTCGTTACCACCGGAGATGCGGACTACATAGCCCTTCCATTCATCTCCCAACGCATCGGCTTCAACTTCAGCACCCATGCGTTTCTCGTAGAAAATTCTGAGCTTGTGCTCGTCCGAGATTTCGAATAGTTTTTGACATCCTGTCGCAGGATACGATACGTTGAGCTATAATAATGGAAAAATAATTAATAAGAATGTATATAATACACCAACTTTTGAATTCAGGTTAGGACAATATTTATTACAAAAAACCTACACCAGCCAAAAAAAAAATAACATATTAATTTTATTATTACAAGTTATATAGTGGCAAGAGAGACATATTATCATCATGAATCAATGTAAAATAAAATGATGCACGTTTTACTTGACATCGTTTGATGAGCGGTTATTTGTAATCAACACTACGTGTATACAAGTGTAATTTTAATTAATATGCAAACACCGTAGCATCCGCAATACTTCAGTACATCGGAAAAAATGTAGATTTTACGCGATGGACGCGAGATTCCTGAAATATTCGCGGATTCTCACCTTCATTGCAACGATGTTCAAACCATGCCACGAGCCATGAACGAGAAAGGATACGGTTGAAGCTTGCTGCGGATATCTCGCTGAATATCCACTGTCGCCAACTAATATTAGAGATTTAGGGATTTATGAACCCGGTCAAATCGAACAAGAGACAAGTATACTTATTCTGATTGGTCGAGGAAATTCAAGGCAACGACCAATCAGGATACAGAAATCTCTCCTCTTTTGTCTTGATTGGTCAATCAAATGCCTCGAAGCGTCTCTAGCGTTTTCTCGACCACAGTCTTGTTTGCATGATTTGATTCGGATCTAGCAATTGTTTATGATTAATGTTTATGTATATATATAACCAATCAGAGCTGTCATTCGAAAGTCTATTATTCAATTTTCTGAAAGCAACTCTCGTGAATGAAAGTCGAATTTTACGTTTTATGCAAGTTAGAAAAGTGAATTGAATTGAATTTAAAGTATCGGCAAAAATGTGCTCTTGAAAAAGCCATTATATATGAACGAAATTTACAGTTGAAGGCACGTTAGAATCTAACCATTGTCCGAGCTAATCTGCGTCTTACATGTTGCACGATATTTTTAATAAAGATTGCGCGAGATTTTGAAGCGTAGTATTGTCGAAAGGTACGTTCTTTTATTCTCGAAATTTTTAGTATAACGTGTCAAGACCTCGGCAAAACATAAACATTTCATAGGTTATTTCATTACTTATTTCACTACTTTTTAATATCCTCCAAATTTCAGCATAATTTTCAATCGATTTCTAATTTTCCCGAAACGTAACTAAATTAATCGCATCGCGCATCTATCATTAATTTTGCATTCCTGTCTACAGCATATCAGAATTATTCGACGATAAAATAGAGATAAGAAAAAAATCAGCCTGCCCGGATAAAGTTTGCGAGTCGTGATAAAAAATAACAAGTATAATTATTAAAAATATAAACTCCCAAGAAATCGCTCGGGGAATTAATTATAGCGTTAATTTAGTTCGATTGTAACGGGGTGTTATTTATATACCCTCATCGATGTAAGGGAAGATGATTGGCCGAGGATCGCCGGCTCCTCGAGCGATTTCGCCGGCGCGAAGTTTGCGCTTTATCTCGCCGCGCGCGTGATGTAAGAAGGCGGCTCAACTGTCACTATCGTTGTCGCGCGCGTCGTGGGCGGAGGGGGAGGGGAAGAGAACGGAAAGGCGAGGGAGAGAGAGCGACGCATCGGGACGGTGGAAACCGGAAGAAGGAGCGTTGCGCTTCCGAGGGTGTCGCGCGTCGTGCGTGTGAGTGTGTGTGTGTGCGCGCGCGGCGCGTATGTACGTGTGAATCCGTGCGTGTGTGCGTGAGACACTCCGGTGAACGATAGAGGGATCGCGCCGGAGGATTTTCGTTATGTATCGATTTACTACGTAAATATACTCTCTCTTTCTCTCGCAGAACGACAAATGGAGCACACGGAATGAGAGTCTGCGGCATCGATTGCGAGACAGGTAATGTCTCTTTTTTTTTTTTTCCCCCCTTAAGTTTTCTGCTCTTTTTTTCCCCCCTCGTACACGTCGCCTCGCCGTCGTACCTCTCCCGTATGCCTGCGTCGTACAGGTTAGAGGGCATCCCGTTACCGGGAACAAGGACGACGACGGCGACGATGACGACGTTAATCGTTAATTCGACGAGAAATGATGTAATGAGACACGCGCTTTTCGATCTCGTGTAATCAAGTGTACGAGGTATATTTCGTGCGACGAGTATTCTTCGAGCATCATCGACGTGAAATTTGCGATTCATTCGATAAGCACATGTTCTTTGGATTCCGATGGAATATTTCTCGGCGAGCCACGTTAGACCTTTGCTTTTTCATTGGAAAAATAATGCAGCACGTTGCAATTATGTAATATTGTGATGATGCTGCTATAATAAAAGATAATGACAAGAGGGATATTAATAGAATAAGGATTTTATGTTGTTATATCGAGATTGATAAGTGTGTTGACACATGTGTTTAGTAAGAAGACATGGATGCTGCAGTTATAGAAGTTTTACGACAGGCGGTCAGCCAAGACCCCAATGTCCTGAAATCTGCAGAGCAAACATTGAAACAATGGGAGACGCAACAAGGATTTTATATAGCCTTATATGTAAGTTATTATTGACAAATAAGAATTTATTACAAGTATAATAATGTCTTCCATGCATGTAATGGATTTATGGAACATTGCATGGGAAAACAATGATATATTTATATATCAAATTACCTTTATTCAGAATTACCTTACAATATTACAAATATATTTTTTGATATTACACACACACATATATATGAGTATCTAAAGATACAAGTGATTGTACAAAATTGTTTTCAGAATGTTCTTTCAAATCATTCCTTGGCTGTTGAAGTTAGGTGGATGGCTATCGTATATCTAAAGATTGGAGTCGAAAGATATTGGAGGAAAAATGCGCCAAAGTAAGGGACTTTTTGTGTCAAAAAAAGAAACATCATACACTAAGATATTTTTATTGATATATACTTAATAATATACCATATTATTTCAGCGCAATTGAAGACAATGAGAAGGAATTTTTACGACAGCATTTGCTAAGAAATTTTGAAGAACCTGTAAATCCATTAGCTGTACAATTAGCGGTTCTTATTGCTAAGATAGCAAGGTATATAACACATGTGATATAATGTATTGTATTGAAATAATTAATGTGTTAATGTGTCCCTTTACTTTGCATGTAGGTATGATTGTCCTAGGGAATGGAGTACACTAATACCAACATTGTTGGAAATTATAAGGCGAGAAAATTCTCTGGCGCAACGTCAAGCATTGTTAACACTGCATCATGTTGTTAAGGCTTTAGCGTCTAAACGCTTGGCCGATGGCCAGAGGCTCTTCCGAGAATTGACTGCAACTATGTTCAATTTTATTTTAAACTTATGGAATACCTATACTGAATCCTTTCTGATTATGGCGTCAAACGGGGCTGATGTCAGTCAGATACAAGAAGCCTTAGAGAAGGCACTCCTACTGTTAAGAATACTTAGGCAGCTGATTGTAAATGGTTTTTCAAAGCCATCTGAATCTCAAGATGCCATGTTGTTTTTAAAAGTTGTTTTTGAGCGTGCAAGGACTTGTCTGGAGTGCCGTTAGTACCTTCTTCAGTATTATTTAAGAGAACTATATGTTTATTTTATTTTTGTTTATAAAAATGTGAGTGTATTTAATGTCTAATATGAAAATAATATATTTTTTCTTGCTTGTTTTAGGAAAAACGTTAGCTTCTAGAGGCATACAGATGGATATGTGCGACAAATTTATAATACATTTGACCAAAGTTTTAATAGGAGTGTTAGAAATGCACCCATTTTGCTACGTGGAACTCATACCGACTTCCTTAGAGTTTTCCGTTTTTTACTGCTTTACGGAAGCCGGTCAGGCATTAACATTTGAAAAATTTATCATTCAATGTCTGAATTTAACGAAAAATATTTTATTATCGACATATTATAGACCAGCTAAAGTTAGCGAAGGTATATAAGCTTATTTTTACATGTTTGTTATTTATCTTATATGTGTTATGTGTTATTTATATTAATATTATCTATATATTAACGATTATTGAACGTTTGTTTTATGGGAAATAGAGACGAAAGATCCATTGGTATTGAGGGCATACCAATTGAAGCAAGAATTTTTCACACCAGAAATATTAACAGAAATTTGCTCTAGACTTGTCACGCATTACTTCCTTTTGACACCTGCAGATCTTGAAATGTGGGATACTCATCCAGAAAGTTTTGGTAAGCATAGCAATTTATATTCAGTAAATATAACGATACATTTTTATTCATGTATTCCAAATAAAATTAAAGAAATAGCAAAATATTATATATTTATATATATATAAAACAAAATATGGGAAATATTACTTTTTTCAGCTGTTGATGATGGTGGAGAGTCATGGAAATATAGTTTGAGGGTGAGTAATTAAAAATATTGTAAAAATTATTATATATAACATATATTTATCATATAAATTATTATACAAAATTCTTAATTATTGTATAAATATATGTCGTGATTATTCATGAGAATGTATATTGTGTTGCAGCCTTGCACAGAGTCCTTATTCTTGGCAATCTTCCATCAATTTAGAGACGTTCTCGTCTCTGTTCTGGTTGATCTGATGCGACAACATCATCAACCTGTCGATCCTAACAATTTACATGCGATTTTAGTAAAAGACGCAGTTTACTGCGCGGTTGGTTTGGCTGCTTTCGATTTGTACGATGAGGTAAAGAAAATATTATCATAATATCTTTCATAAATATTTAATTGATTTAATAAATATGTTTTTTATGTAACAGGTAAATTTTGATCAGTGGTTTTCGACGACTTTGAAAGAGGAATTAAAAGTTCGAAGTAATAATTATAGAATTATCAGGAGACGTGTGTGTTGGTTAATCGGTCAATGGACGAGTACGTTGATATTTTGTTGGAAAAAGATACGCTTTAAGCAATTATTTATTACTTGTATTTTGTGAAATTTTATATGTCTTGCAGATATTAAATTGAGCACGGAATTGAGACCAGAGTTGTACAAGGTTATGATAGAAGCATTAAATCCTGAAGAAGACCTGGGAGTTCGTTTAGCAGCTAGTAACGCTTTAAAACAGGCGATTGATGATTTTCAGTTCAATTCAGAGGAATTTTCTCACTTCTTAGAGCCAGTATTTTCGTTATTGTTTGCGCTTCTTAAGGAAGTAAATGAGTGTGATACAAAGGTACACAAAGAGTTGACATTTATTTTTTTTATATCCTTACAATATATCTTTGTATTATTTCTTATGAATTTTTCTATCTTTTAGATGCACGTACTATACGTACTATCGTTTATTATCGAACGTGTTGGTAGTGGAATTAAACCTCATGTCGGTGCGCTCAGTTCGTATCTACCTGAACTTTGGCAACAATCCGAAGTATATAATATGCTGCGGTGCGCTATAGTGTCGACTCTGATACATTTGGAGAAGGTAAGTATGCAATCTATTTTCAATCAAAAGATTGATGCTACTGCTTATTTTTTTAATGCTGTTATACATTTATAGGCTTTAGGTTCTGAGAGCGTTATTCTGGAACCATTGGTGGTAGGAGTTGTAGCTTTGAGTTGCGATGTCAATCAAGAGGGACATGTTTATTTATTAGAAGATGGATTGGAATTATGGTTTGCATTATTAGAAAATGCACCTGCTCCGACACCAGCTATAATGGATCTCTTTAGAAATATGCCGGCATTATTGGGTTAGCAATGTATTTAAAGTTGTTAACAGTTCTATTAATAGTTCTCCATGTGAAATAATAACAGTCTTTTCGCTTATATTTTTAGATCAATCTACGGAGAATCTACGTTTATGTTTGTACATAATTCAAGCTTATGTATTGTTGAACCCGCAAGATTTCTTCACTTACAGAGGTTCAGTAGTCATCGAAACACTAAAAGCACTTCTGAGCGATTTACGAGCAGATGGCAGAGTGATGGCACTGAGATTATTCGAGATTTGTCTTAGAGCTTCCCCTCAACAGGGTGCAGAACTGATCAAACCCATTTTATTAAAGATATTCGAGTAAGTAGATTATTTATTTTTTCCTTTTTCTAGAGATTTGTGCCGCATAGAAACTTAGAATATCATATTTTTACAGGAGCGTCTACAATGGCGAAGAGTATCCAATGGTTATGACTATGAATTTATCTATCGTTGCGAGAGTTTTATTAGGTTCTCGTGATATTTTTGTACAAGTAAGAAAAATTCTTTTCAATTGCGATTTCCACGGGCGTATTTTTTCAAAGATAAAAAATTGCTTTTTCAGGTGATTAGCGATCTCGCGCAAAATTTAGGTACTGAAATGAGAGAAGATGTTGTGCTCGGAAAGATGATATATAGGTGGATCAATGGAATGCCATTAGTATCGCAGACTGAAAGGCGGAAATTACTAGCCCTTGCCCTCTGCTTCCTTCTTGGAGCAAACAGTCCGCCCACAGTTCTAGAATATTTTCCGTACATAATATCGAACATTGTCGAGACCCTTAATGACATCACGAAGTTTGACGATATGGGCTATCCTGTCGAGTAAGACTTGAGATGCTTTTTTTTTTAATACACAGATAGCAATCGAAGTAAGAGCGATTCATAATGTGAGACCTCAGTCATTTTCAATAACTTATTTAAATTGGCAACTTACATAATTTCATTTTTTGAAAAATTAATATAATTATTTTATTTCTTATAATCATTTAAAGCAATTTTATTTTGTTATAAAAACAATTTTGGTGTAACATTTATCTCTTACTTCAATTGATTATACAAAGTGTTTATAGAAAGAAAAATAGATGTATCAAAACATGCAATTAATGAAATGAAAATTATTTTAGTTCTTTGATGATTACTGATCAGCCCAGTCCATCGCAATACGAGGATGTGGATTATGAAACCGAGCACGCTCAACGACAAAAGAGACTCGCCTTCAGCGATCCTGTGCACAGTATATCCTTGAAAGATACGCTTCAAAGTCAGGTGAGAATCCCTCCTTAATTTTTTTTCGTTTTTGGATGTTTAATTTATAGATTTAAAATTTATTTGAAATTATTAGTTGATCATGCTGCGAAGTATAGTTGGGGATAATCAATTTGATCAATTGATGCTCACTCTTAATTCCGAGATTGATGAACAACTCAAGGACTACATATCGCTATGAGGAAGGCGCAAGATCAAAACGCAATACAGAGGATTTCGACTATATAAGGTATGAGAAAAGAAGCTTTACAGCGCTCTTTTGTGAAACGGCACTATTTTATTGTATGATATTATCATCTGTTTCATTGTATTAATAATGTTGATAATAAAAGATCCTACTCTCTCTCTTTTCGTGCTACTGGAAGATTCCTTTCTCCCCTAATTTTGCTTTTAAATATTCAAATATGATTATTCTATTTGACTATTGAATTAAAAATCATATACACACATGCACCATTTGATTATATTATTGATAATCTATAGAAAGTTTCACATCGAATTAGGAGAGAAAGATGTTATTTTCTATAACAATTTTCAAGAAATTGTTACAATAAATATATTAGCACAGTTAAAAATATTAATGCACAACTAAATTATTAATGCAAATTAAGTTATTCTAATTTATTACAGAATATTTATATTGTTATGCAACATTGGATTAATATATGACTACTTCATTCAATGATCTCATGTTGCATTGATGATATTTGCAACTGTGATATTTTATCATCCTTAAAATCTATTTCTAGACTTCTGACGTGTTTATTTTTTTACATTCAGATATCTTACGCGAATATATGTATAGTGTAATGCTTTTATATGTATGACAATGCCATACATACAAATATATACATTGGATACTGCTGTTTTCAAGTACGAGCATCCAAGAATCTTATCCCTTTCCAAGTGTAAAAATAAGAAAAATTAGAAAAATAAATACAAAATGTTAATTAGTTTTATTATATATATGCAATTTCTATCGATATAAAAAATTAATGAGTACATCGATATAAAAAGGATTAAACTGTAACAAAATATCTCAGCATGAAATAAAACATCTAAATATATTTTTTATTATGCGTGCTCCAATAAAAATTATTGATTGCACACAAATAAATATAAAAAATATAAATTTCTTATATCAATTCTTATCGAAACATGTAGGAGCGATATATCGAGATTATTTCATATCGATGTTCCCACTCGTCTGAACGCGGCTTTATTCTCCCCCCTCCCCCTTCCACTCGCGACGTGACTCATTCGTCGCGACGACGCCGCCTGACGTTGGCGCTGTCTGTTGGCCGTGCGCGAAACCGCGAACAGCTGTCGTCCGTGTGGCCCGTGTCAAATCTTGGCAGGGGGTTAGTCGAGTGTGTTGGATCCGAATCTCTCCGGATTACGGTGCGCTGGCGTGTTGTCTTGATCCAGCGAAGACAGTCCTCCTTGCGGTGAGTGTGAAATTGATTGTATTCTCGTATCGCGCATTGAAATCGCTCCCGTTCGTCTCGCATACCTCGAGCACGAACGCGTTATCATGCGCGTAATTCCTGTAACCCCGCTTTGCTCTGATTATGTATACGTTGCCCGGCGTTCGATCGATTCGCGCGACACCCTGTCACGATCAAAGATATCTGTCATCGTTCCAAGACACGGAATCGGCGATAACGACGCTTTGTTGATCGCCGCGTCTCACGATTGTCGCGCCAACCTCGTCGAGTGATATTTTCGCGCCTGTCGAGACAGCCCGGCGGATTTTTGAATGATCGTGAGTGAGCGTGAGTGGGCGTATCACGTGACTTGATCGTAATGTGTATATTTGTTCCTATTCCGGTGAAAAAAGAAACCATTGATCTTCTTGCTCGGTGACTTAGATCTACCCGCGCGCACGATTTCCATTCTACTCACGTTTAGGAAATCCGGCTTTGATGTTATATTATTGTCCTCTTTTCTAGATTATATACTTCTGTCTATGATATATGGACAAGGACATACGAGTTCGATATTAATTGAGATTGATTCTCCGTAATATTATTTTCAACATCCTTTCTTAGAATCTTGCGTTCATATATTGAGAGAGATTGAATTACATATACGGAGATATATAGGGATTGAATATACATATTGTAGAGAGATTGAATTAAAATTTATTAATAATGAAATGAAATCTTTTTATTGTATATAATAACATTTCTGATTTCATATAGTAATATCTAATTTTTATTAACAAACTTCTACATTTCATAATTAATTTGTAGCAGATATTTTAAAATTCTGGACAAATATAATATATTCTATAAATATATATATATATATATATATATATATATATATATATATAGAATATATTATATTTGTCCAGAATTTTAAAATATCTGCTACAAATTAATTATGAAATGTAGAAGTTTGTTAATAAACATATAAATATATATATAAATATATACATATATATATATATATATATATATATATATATATATATTTATATGTATTGTAATATAAATAATTATAAAATATATGTGTAGTATATATAAGGAGATATGACAATTTAGTCATGTCCAACATCGGTAGAATTGGCCCACTTAACCGCAATTAACTTTAATTGGTATCGATGCGACCATTGTTAAATCGGAGATGTTTAATATTTGCTGATTTTCGTTTCGAATAAGTTTCGCATTCTGTCAGCACGCCTCGTCTTCGATATGCATCGAACTGGAGGCGAATCGTCCTCCGCGCATCGCTAAAAAAATTGAAGCTTAATGACAAATAATTTAATATTAATCGCGAGACGACTCGCGAATTGTCGACTCAGCGAATACAAATGAATATTAATGCTGGCGAGTATGGCAGAAAAATGCTCTCCCGCTTTGCCAACGCTTCTTTTTATCGTCATCCATTCGTTTTGACCTCCGACTTTTACCGCGTGTCACACGCGTCAAGTTGTTCGGCCGCGATCGTTGCGCGTTTCCGGTCACAAAATTCAAAAATGGGTTTTTAAACACGTTTCGTAACCATCAATTTGACATACGTTATCAAATAATAATAAAACAATATTATTTCTCAAATAATAAATTTTAAATTTTTTTTTAAATGAATAATAATATAATTTCGAATATTTTTTAATTAATGCAATATTCTATTAGTTGTGCTTGTTCAATTTATTTCTTTAAGCGTATATATAAATTCGACTGCAATTGGTTTTGAATAATGAAAGATTTAAATGAATTAAGAATAGAAAAAATTGTGATTTTTTTAAGTAAAGAATAGGTGGATTAAGAGAGATAAGATAACCCAACTCTGTAAAATTATGAATTATTGATTTTTCTGTAAAGAGGAAACCCAAAGTAGATTTAAAAATTCTTTATATTTTTTTTTATTTTTTTTATTTATTAAAATATGATTTTTGTAAAGAAGGCGCAATAAATATTAATAGTTAACGAGCAACGCAATATTAATTATTTAGCAATATAAGAGATAAGACAATGATAATTCAAGAAGGAAAATAATGATTTTTTGCAGTAATAATCTAAATGTATACTGAAAATGTATACTGAAAGTATAAAAAAATATATGCAGTTTATTTAAAAGAATCACATAAATTTCTGGATTACTCAACTTGAAAGCATATATATTACATCATTTTAAAAATTTATGTGAAACGTAAATTTTACATCATAATTTATCAAACTTTTTATTTTACTTTTTATTTTTATTCTCGTATAAAGCTGACTTTCATCAATAATCCGTTATAAAACGAGTAGATATAAAATCAGCTGTTTATTCGAACGATATATGATTGGATTACAATCCATATATAATACGTATATAATTTGACATGATGAAATTTCGGTATTAATTAATATTTCAGTACATCGGATTCAATGTAGGCGGACGGAATCTAACGTAACTCGATTTTACTACACTTCGCTAATAATTTATGTATATCTCCGTGTAAAACACGAAAATTCTTTTTAAATTTTTATTGAAAAGGTTCTGTACTTTAAAGCCGCACCTTTTCAGAGTTTTCGTGAAAATTATGAATATAAAACGGTAATTTATGTGTATGCCGCAAAAATTTAATAATATCTCGAACAAAACTACACTCGAAAACTGTTGTGCGTCATTTGTGACGATTTAGCTAGCATTTGTATAAATTTGAAGTGCATTGAAATTGTTATGAAACAGTTCTTTTGCAGATATGATAAAATGATGGAGAAAACTTTGTTGTTGAATTTTGCGCGATAATTATGATATCGCAAAAAATTATCAATCATCATCGATATCATTTATAAGAAATGATTTCATCGTGATTACATTGCGTAATCGTTAGAATCGCTACTAAAAATAAGCATGCAAAATGCAAATTTTAAATGTTTTCGATTACATATTAATTTAACGTATCATGACATTTAAATTGTACTGTTAAGGTTTCATCATGTCAAATTATATATTGACAGTGTCGTTTAAAACATTATAACGATTTGAGTTTTATATAATACATATATTATAATACATATATGTAATATTTAATATATAAATACAATATTACAAAAGTTATACTCTAATAATTTATAGTATCAAATATAGTTACAAAATATTTTCTACGGTTGTTTACTTTCAAAAAGTAATAATGGCGATAGAAATATCGACCTGACAAATAAGGTAAATTCTTTGCGTTATTGTAATAATTAATCTTGACATTAAATCAATACGGGATATATTAATTGCGTAGCTTTGAATTTTCATCAATATTATAACTACAGAATGAAATGGAAAGTTTGTTGTGACATTTGTGAAAATTTGATGTATTTTATTTCTCAATCATCTTTCAATACAATAAATATTACACATATTGTAATTTATGTACAGCATTATAATATTATATGTAATAATTAATAATATTATTTTAATTTGGTGATTGGATTTATAAAAATTATTTATTATTTATTAATTCTCTGATATAATTAAACTTTAAATTCCTAATTAGGTATATAAGAAATTTAATAAACATCGGCATTAATTTATTTTAATTTAATGGCTGCGCGCCAGGCCAGTACAGCGATTATTCAATTGCAATATCTTTTTTTTTAACGGAAATCGATTCCTTCTTTTAACGGAAATGACGATAGTGTCTTATCACCGGTAAGATTAGCGTATTTGTTGCTGTCCATTTTGCAATTTTAATAATTTAGCGGCTACTAGAAAATCGTTGTAGCACCGCGGAATTTGCGTAATTGTTTGTAATAGATCCACTTGTGCATTGTTTATGTAATGTGCAAAATTTCCGCTATTGATAAGATCAAATTCTTGATATAAGTTAATTCAAGATAACGTATATTAGTTAATTCAAGATAACGTATATTAGTGCATGATATGAACTAAATAATAATTGAGAGCATATAAATTATATAAATTTATAAAGCGTATATTATTTTATGATTGTTGAGCGAAATATTAATGAAAATTATTCATTCTTCGTAAAATTAGATTTATATTGGAATAATATTTATATGATGCGCATAGAGAACTTTATTTCATTTTTTTTTTGTTATTATATCATTACAATTATTACATTGCAGTATTATGTCACTATATACTTTATCTTCCTTTAATTATATTTTATACGTTTTATTTTATTGCTCGAGATTTTGAATTGGTCAGGATCTATTTATTTTCTTTTTTTTTTCTTTCTTTGAAGATAGCCTGAGAAAATCTTTTCTTTAAACTATAATACCTATAAATAAATTATTTCTTATTAATATTATAAATTAATAATATTGATAAATAAATTATCTATCATGAAATTAATTATAAATAATGCATTTAAGAAATTCATGGCTTAATAAAATGTCAAAAACGTGTAACAATAAGATATCAATTTTATAAGAAAGTTTTGCTACGTATTTCTCAAAAGAAATATAAGATATATAAAAAAGAGAATTTCTCTTTCTCAAAGTGTTCATATTAAAATATAATAAATATAAACAAGCTGACTTAAATAATTGATACAAAAATTTTAAATAAAAATACTTTTTGAAAACAAATGTTTGGAAAAAAATGTCATATATTTTAGATTAAAAATCTAGACAATATTTTTAAATTTATCTCTTCATAATCTTTATAAAATATAATAAGACTCGTATTTACAAAACTATAATAATAATATTATCAACATAACGCGACAAAGGATACGAATCGCGTGGCCTCCTGCCGGCGCGTGTCGCGTATTTTTAGAAAGATCTTACATTGCAGCGGGGGTGATTTGTAGGACGGATGTTGGACTTCGATATGGTGGACGGAAGGCAGGGAATTTATCAAATGATAGCGACACCATGACCCAGACGTATATGTGCTCTTTGGGTTTCCTAGCAACCCGTCGCGTCAAGTTTCGCAAATTTGCAGAAAGTTTTGCATCCCGCACAAATCAGCCCGGCGTCTCGAGGAAAATTCCATTTCACTGATTTATATGAGACACGGAAACTAGAGTCGGAAACTCTGTTCTTGACTTAATGAGCTTCGCAAAGTAGTTGGGAATGTGTGTGATACACATATTTCGCTATGTATAAAATTATGTTTATTAAAAAATTATATTTCTAACTATATTTCATTTATTATAATAAATTATATCTTATAATAAATTTAGTCATTATAAAAATAATAAAATGTAAATGTTGAGTGTATATTTATAAGAAATTTAAATAAAAGAATTAAACAGTATTCATATTAATAATATATGTGAGGGAATTATGTCACACACATAAACAAAATTACATAAAATTACAGACGATATTACGGACGTTTATTTTTTTTGTAGAGTTACTAAATGAATTTTTTACATTTTTTTACGTACAAATATTATTGTTACCTTTTCCGTATATTAATAAAGTTAATGCACGATGCATCTTTCGAATGAGAACGTATCTGAAGCTTATCAGAATTAAATACAGCTGTTTCCCTAGTGAGTCTAATTGTTCGTAGGAGAATACTGTTGGAATGGAATAATTTAATCATCGGATGCGTTATACACACTCGCGCTAATAATTTTTAATTATTCTCGGGTTTCGCATGATATATTTGTAAAGTGTATGGATGTTACAGCACGTAAGGTTACTAACGTGGGTAGAAAACAACTTTTGCTCTCGTGTGATACACGTGTCGCTTTTTAAACTTCCACAAAGGTTTAAACTGTTTCTTTTTTATCGTATTTATTGCATCTATATCAAATAAGAGAAATTTGTTTTTTCGTATTTTTATCTGATAATTCGTCTTTTATTCTTTATCTGATAATTTATTTATAATTCGTCTGATACTTGTTAAAACAATATGTACTTCAATAATTTTATTTACTATATAAATAGAAATTTCCCCAAGTTATCGGCAAAATACACGATACAAAAAATTATAATCGTCATCTATTTATATATATATTTATAATTATATATTCGGCATATAATTATATTTTACCTTATTAATTTTTAGTTATATAATTTTTATTTTATTTTCAAAATTTTTATGATTATGATACATAAATACAATGAGTAAGCAAAATTGCTTATAAGATGCAAATTGTGATAAACTTTAATGTAGTACAACACAGTCATATATCGCATCTTTCGATCTTATTAAAAATTTTTATTGATTGTCGAATATAAATATGTAATAAATTTATTAAAAAATTGCATAAAGAATTGTATTGTTAAAAATGAAAAATTATTATGTATTTTTTAAAAGTTAAAAGCATTTGGTTTTTAATGTATTTTATATAACCGTAATTGATTTTTTATTTAAAAAAATTATTGCCGATTTAATTTATGGATATTTTGCAGAAGACACAATTATATAAAAAGAACATTTTATTTGCTTCTCATCTCTTTTTAACGCTAATTAAGCGTCTCTTGGGAAATTAAGCAATAGAGGCGATAGTTCACAGAGGAGTCTCAGGTTTGCCTTAAATTGAAAAAAATTATACCGTGAAAAGATATATCTCACGACTTAAATGAACGGCTACTCTATCGGTCTGGAAAACTCAAGGTGAATAATTGGCAAAGAGAGAAAGAGAGAGCTTGTTAAATCAAGAGCTCACGACAAATCGTATTGCGAGAGCTGAACAACGGTTATGAGAGTGGTACTGATTATATTCATAATCGATACATCGTTGAGACGATCACCACTATCGTGACACGCACATGTATGCGCAGAGAGATCCTTTTAAAACAGGACGATATTAATAAGTCGTAAAATCGATTCGCATACACACACATATACATTTCGCGTTGCCTGCTTACTTGTTTTCATTACCGATCTCGTTTATTTAAAAGGCTTGTTTCTTGTAATTTTTATCCAATCATAGAAAGAATAAGAGAAACTTTCTTACGGGACAATGTACGTGTAGGTCGATGACTCTCTCAAAAAGGTATTCGAGAAATATCAGGGACGTTATTCTATTTATAGAATAGAGAATTGCAGACAATTCTGATAGAGAGATATGTCTCGTGGAAAATTCTAGACATCTTAACAGTTACGATAGGCAAGAATTTAGTATTAAATGCAGGCTTTAATATATTTTATATAAAATGTAACAGGTAATAAGATTTTATTTTAGTAATAAATTGGAAAAATATATTGAAGTCTTTTAATGTACACACACACATACAATCAATGTAGACTTATATTTTTCCCATTAATTTAAAATTATATAGAAAATACAAAAAAAATAAATAAGTATGTTTTCATCAACTTTTTATCATTTGAAACGTGATGTAAGTATCAATGTGAAATTGATAATTTTATCAACTTATATTTATATATATATTTATATATATAGGTTATATCTATTCTTTCCTTCAATTCAATATATTCCAAATAAAAATTATTTAACATCTGTGCTGCTAGAGATATATTTCTTTTCATGAAAATTTTTTAATTGTTATAAAATAGAAATATCGGATATTACATATTATTAAATGTATAATATGAGATATTATATTTTTATCTTTATTTATGATTTTATATTATGATTACATATTATGCTATCTATAAATGATTCAATTGCGAGAGTGAATTGCGTTGATGAGAATGGGAATTTAAGTGTAGTTTTATTCTAAGGGGTGACAGGATATTGTTCATCCCACTTGTGCACCGCGCGTGCGCGCGTATTCTCGAAATGAACCATATATCGTAATAACTTATAACCATTGCAGACACCCGGTATAAGTGTGGAGGAAGCAAAAGTACGCGAATAAAGTCGGGGATTGCGGCGCACGTGGAAAGAGGAGAGAGAGAGGGCAACGGAGAGAAAGAGCAGACAGCGGTGGATCTTGAAAATAATCAAAGGGAGAACCGCGTGTGCGATGTAAAGATACCAAATGTCATCAGATCAAAAAGAGAGATAATTATCATCATTGTCAAGAAAATGTTGATATTTCGCCTATCATCCAACCAAATATATTAATATCTCGAATCTCCCGTGAAAAAAGGATTTCACGAAAAGCTTCGAACAGTCCTCCCCTTGAATCCGCCCCTGGCGGAAAAGGCGGCTATTGCGAGGGAGAGCGAGAAGGGGGAGGAGAGGGTACCGAAACGAGGAACGGGAGGAACGGAGGGGAAGTCGACACGAGAGGGAGAGAGACGGGGCGTCCGAGCCGTGGTCGCGTATCGATCGACCAGCAGCAAAACTACCCCCTAGCAGGAGACTTCGCAGTGTGCGAGGGACCGATCACGTACGAGAGTAGTCCGGTGGTGCTCTCGCTCGGTGCTCGTTGGCCCACGCGGATACCCCTCACGTTCCTCACCGCACGCAGACACACACGCACATCCGTCCGCTCCACCGTCGTCCTCCACGCCGGGTTATTTAGGGGTGCACTTTAGGGGTGCATCCGGTTCGCCGAAGGGCCGAACGGCGGGCAAAGGTGAGAAGACAAGCGTCCTTGTCGTTTTCGCGTCACCCTCGCTGCATCGTGTAACAATTTGCGTTCGTTGGATTCTTCTCTTCCGGCGAGGATTGTCCCTTCTCTCATTCGTGCGCAGCGTGTGACGTTATCTATAGCTGTCCGGAACGGATGTGTCGTTCGTGGATTATAGATCGTACCGAGACGCGAGTATAAGCGGACTTGAACGACGACGAAAGTTCTTTTAACTATCATCAGTCGGCTGTGAATCCTACCTGAATGCGGTCGTCTTCGTCTATGCTGATTTAGTCTGTCTCTATATATTCTATTTCTACTTTTTCATGTAACATATAGTATATTATAGTTTTCTATATCGTAGAGAAGGTCTCTGTATTCTAGTGCCACCTACTTGCATTATCTTTCTCTATACTTTATACCTTATTAGTTATCATGTTATGGGCTTTTACATTGTACTCGTATTCTATTATAATTTCTTATATTTTTACAACTTTACATATTTAATTTTTTTCTTTAATATCCATATCGAAAATTCGCTATTTTAATTGATAACATTTTTTATTCCGTTAGTATCTTTTGTATTAATAATTATAATACTACTTCAGTAATATATATGATTATCGTATATTGCCATCTTTTTTACTATTATGCTGCCATTTGATAGAATTTAGTTATAGAGCTCGAGTTATTTAACGCAATTATTTAATGCTCAATCAGTGCATTGCTAGCTCAATCGTTACTATTAGAAAATTGGGACAATCCTGTTGCCGAACTGTGTCAGAACGATCCTCCATCTTACCGTCCTTTCGCCCACTTTCCGAATCTCCCTTTTGTCTCCTTTCGTTTCATCTACTTTCGGATCGGTCGGGTCAATCGAACGCTCCTGTATTTAATGGAACGCCCGCGATCATTACGTCTAGCCTCTAATCCCATTAATAACATTCATTAATAAGGACGTTGCATTAATTAGCGCAGTTCGTCACTAAGAGGATTTTGACGATGTATGCCATAACTTTAGACTTAAGAACTTCCGTCGTGCAATTCGTTAATAAGAGCGCTTGTTTGCAAATTTCTCAGCCGGCTCGTCAACAAATACTTCGATTTTATGATTCATGTAAAGAAGGAAAATCGATCGGTGATTTTGTACGATTTTCAGAGTGCAAGATGTAATTCGCGGAATTTTTCTTGACCCTCTTCGGTAAATTTTATCTAATTAATTAATTAATTAATCGTGTTTAATTCCCGCGACCTTAACGAACTTGTCGATTGCTCGCATCAATTGTAGGTTTTTCGCGCTAGCTTAGAATGCTTTTGACATGTGCTTGAAATTTATTCTTGAAATTTGCGCCAACTTATCCGAAATGAAAGCATCGCGTTACTATTTTAATCAAATTTATTTTATTAAATTTATTTTTTATATTATTATTATTGTTTATAATTGTCATATATGTGTTACGAATCTATTCCAATTTGCTTCTTTGTAGCTCTAGATATTTTTAAAAAATGGATGTTCATTATGGCAGATTGTTTTAGCTCGACATAATATATTGGACGCGTTTGGCGTGACAAATGCGAGCAGCGTAGCGTTGGCTTTATTGAAATTTGTTGTGGACTTGTCACTCAGAGATATCGTACGCTTGTTTTGCTAAAACTCCTCCATTAAACATTTATCTCGATTCATGAAATTCATGCACGAGGCAACCGTCAGTGAGAAACGTCGCTCGCTGTTAATGGAGCAAGTTCGCTCTCACAGATTCATCATTTGCAGATTTTGTGAATAGAACTTTTGTACCATACTTAGTACATCTCCATGTGAATTCAATGATGTGCAATATTACCTTTATTGAGAGACTGCAATAATTCGCTATGGGAAGACAGATTTTTGTTATCGCGGCAAAACCGCTGATATTGCATATTTGATGCGAAACTTCGCTATTGTAACGAATTGTTTGATATTATACAATAAAATACTTGTTGTCTGAAAGAGTTTTCTTTGCGTGAGAGTAAGTTTGTTTAAAAAATATCAATTTACTGCTGAAGCAAATTTAATCTGCCGCTGAAGCGGAATATTCCAAATTCTCTTTGTTGGCAAAAATTTTTACGTTGCAAGGAAACAATGTTATATGCATATGTGTACGTATCTTTTTTTCTGCAAATTCAGTAGAATTATTTTTAGCAAATAAAATTAATATCTTTATGACATTATTTTTATCTTTTTTGTTGTTAAAATAGTAATCAACAATGTTTGCCGCGACAGTACAAAATATAGATCGACAAATCCTCCTTTTGTTTCATTTTTAAAACATTTCATGGATTTATACAATTGTTAAGAAATTTTAAAAATATGTATGCTTCTTTATTATATTATAACATTTCGGGTTTTTATGGGAAATAAGTGCAGTTATTCATATAAAAATATTTATATCACGTGTTTTTTTGTATGAATAAACATCGATCGGTTGTAGAATAATAGAGAAAATCTCAACGAATAGTTAAGCTTTATGAATCTATAACGCATTAATCCTCTGGCCTCGTTAAAAGAGGAGAGAGCCAGTTAAATTTTGTACGTATATACATATAATACTTGGCAATGTTACTCGTAAAATCTCTCTTCTCGTGTTAAATGTCTCAATATTTCTCATGTCGATATACTTTTAAGGTCGCCCAAAGAGCACGTCGCCTGTCGATGCACGCCGTGTGTCGTTAAAAGCACACATTATTTGTACTCATTAGAGCCTGTTAAGAGGTCGGGTCGGCATGATTGCGTTTTCACTCGTGTGAGATCACCATGGTACACGCGAGGAGCCTGCGACCGCGGCACCGATCTTCGCGAGCCACACGCGAAGCGATACGCCACCCGGTATTACATCAGCAACGAGTCACGATGCTGGAAAATATACATACGGCAATATACATACGATCGATAGCATTGAAAATCATCCCGTTTGCCGTTGGCGAGTGGCCAACAGCCGGCGCGATCATAAATTCGCTCTTCTTTCGTCCTATTTTCCGACGCGTTTGCTCTCTCCGCGAGTCGCTTTTCCCTCGAGTTTACTTTCCAGCTCTGTTTGACAGTCCCCGTTTCCGTTTCTGTTGCAGTCAGAGACAATTTGCGCGTGATTCAAGGAAGCAACGACACGACAGCACCATGGCGTTCGCCGGGCTCAAGAAGCAGATCAACAAGGCGAATCAGGTAAGTACCTCTCTTACCGTCTTACTTCACGGAAACTTGATGATGAAGCCTCGTGTGTGCATTAAAAGAAATAAGAGACAGCGGAATAATTCCACCAATTGATATTGAGTATTTCTTATTTATTATTATTTTTTATTATTATTTTTTATTCTTATTATTTTATTTATTTTTATTTTATTATATTTTATTATATATTTTATTATATATTTTCATTTTTATTCTTTTCTTTAATACAATTTCCACATGGAATAGTTTGTTTGCACGATTGAGAAGTGGATAAGATACCTGAGACTCAATCATTTCATTCACATCATATTTAATATTAAAACATTTTATTAAAAATATTTAAAAGAATATTAAAAAAAATATTATTTTAAAAATATATTAAAAATAATAAGAATAGAATAATAAGAATAGAAGTATATTAAAAATAATAAGAAATTAGATATCAATTGGTGGAATTATTCCGCTTAAATCTAGATTACTTCTTTTTATCGAAAAATTCTGAGAACAAAAATCCGCGTGATTGAGATTCGAGTCTTCCTTCGCGATTTAATTGCTATAATTAAATCACGAGATGCCTTACGCGCGTCTATACGTTATTGATTTAGTTCTTAGGAACATTAAGGGAAAGGAGTCATCGCCAGCGATTCGATATCGTGCGCGAAACATCGTTTGAAAGTTTAATTGTCCACATTAAGGTGATACATATTCCCGTAGGTCGGGCTGCATTACGCCAATTACCGGCATTGCTACTTAATCTAGCGGCGACCCGAACTTTCGCGGTCGTCAGTCATTTCGTTCCCGCACAAATGCGTGGCGTCTTAATATGATTACGCGTCCCCGGGAAATTCTCGATGTTCCAGTGTGATGCGGTTAGATTCTCCGAGGCCATCAGAATATTTAATGCAATTGCGAAAACAAGCGAAACAGCATTAGACGCGGGTTAATTATTATCTCCGTGTCGCGAAATCAATATCATCCTCCTGGCATTGCCAAGATTCCCGATATACGCACGAGAATTTTTATTATCGAGAAATTCCGCGAGAAATTCTCCAAAATGCCAGAATCCGACAAAATCTAAGAGACTGCGGAACGTATAAAATACGCGAGAATCTCCGAGAAATACCGTAATACATCGTAAAACTATTTTACACGATAATACAAAGGGATATTCTTCTCAATAGATGATGATATAGTGTCTATTCTGTGCTCAAATGTGGAAACCGTGATGCATATTTTAAACAATTTTTATAATTCCATTCCATCGAGCATCCATTATTCAGATGAAAGCTAAGTCCTCTTTCTCTGACAGTTTGTCGATGTCAATTATCATTTGGACCAACATGCCACATGTGTAGAATTTTCGTATCAGTCGCACACAGCTACAGTATTATCATCCTACCATGTTTAATCTTGGAATGACGAGCGGAGGGACATGGTTGCTACCGCTCTTAATACTGAGGTTTAGTTGCAACAACCGTGACTAATTAACGGCTAATTGTTAATTGAGAGAAACATGCTCAAAAGATATCGGCAGTAATACTTCATATTAATGAAATGAAATTGTGGTAAATACTATTTTTAAAATTCTGAAAAGTATGAAGAGTCACATTTAGATCATAGTAAAAATTGCCCACAATTTAAATATTCGTTTAGATAGGATAAAATAATATATATTTGCCTATTATATATTAAAAAGGTAAATAATGGGCAAATATTATATTCTTTTTAAGCTAATATTTAAATGTCTGCAAAAATATCATTTTGTGCAAAAATCAAGGAATTTCATTTTTTACTTGATTTATTTCATATTAAAAACAAAATATTATTATTATTATAAATATGTACATTTAATAAATAATTCATATTTTATATAAAATATAAATATATAATAATAAATATAAAATCAGAATTTTATTTATCTATTTAAACTAATATTTGAATACTATTTCTATTTTCGACATTTTTTATACTTTTCAGATTTTTCATCCGTACATATTACAATCTTGTTTCATGTATAGTATAGGAATTCTCGCACAATTTTTATTTAAAAATAATTTATCAGAGAAAATCTGCTGGTTATAGAATAATATTTTATAATTATACAACACATATTCTCTTATTATACTCGCTTGATTTTTAACTTTTAATATCTTTTTATTAATTTCGCATATTAATATTTATCTTTGGCATAATGAAAATCTGTACAACATGATAAAGACGTATCTCGCTCAACAAATATATTAAATATATCCTTTAAATATTGAATGGATTGAATGGAAACTTGATGACGAAATGTTAATACTGACGTGAGATTTTGTTTCACATTAAACAAACGCTTACGTGTCGTGAAATCCTGTATATATGACGCATATACTGCACATTGCTGCAATTACGTATTTCCATATGCGCTACTCATAATTACAGATAAAGTATTTGCATTAAAACGCGCAGATTTTTTTTTTCGTTAAGATGATATGCTGATAATAATTATTGATATACATGTTTTCATTCTGATTATTACACTAGTATTACATGATTTAAGAAATAACTGTATGCAAACGTAAGAATTATATCATTTTTCAATTAATTAATTTTTTATTTATACTCTATATCTATTATATATTTATATATTATATCTATTTTTCTGATTTTTCTGATTCATATATATACATAGAAGATATACATATAAATAAGATATAAACGGATACTATTGTATTCTTTCTTGAAAATTCAATTAATTAATTTTTTATTTATATTCTATATCTATTATATATTTATATATTATATCTATTTTTCTGATTTTTCTGATTTATATATATATATATATATATATATATATATATATATATATAGAAGATATACATATAAATAAGAAAAACGGATACTATTGTATTCTTTCTTGAAAATTCAATTAATTAATTTTTTATTTATACTCTATATCTATTATATATTTATATATTATATCTATTTTTCTGATTTTTCTGATTCATATATATACATAGAAGATATACATGTATAAGATATAAACGGATACTATTGTATTCTTTCTTGAAAAGGAAGCACATTTCTTTAGAAAAGTTCTCAAAAATATATCATTCTTGAGACATTTCATATTTTAATACAGAAGTAGAATAGAGAAATAATGTTTTTTTTACTCTGCTATGGGAAAAATCTACAAAGTCCGAGTTCTTAATACAAGTCGCAATAAGAGTATACGTCCTGTCGGCGACTTGGCGCGTTGGCGGGATGTTATCCTGGCCTTAATTATACCGTGCAGCAGGTCGCTGCAAATGCCAAATGCGAAGCCGTGTCGCCTCTCGGAGCTCGTCGCGCGAGTCGCAAAGGTTCGATCGAGCGAGCGAGCAACGGACGGCTTGTCAAACAATGCGAATTATTGCGCGCGGGAGCTTGCGGCGATTGTGTAACGAGCAATTTTAAACTATCGATCGTGCGCGGTCTCGGGGTAACTTCTCGGGGACCGCACAATGCACGCTCCACCAAAATCCTCGACGATGCGCGATGATGGTAGCCCGTAGCTCCTGACCTTTGCTTCCCTAATTGCGCTCGGGATCCTTATAGCGAGCGAGAAACGCCGTGTTAACGTGCGAAAACATATTCGCGCACTCAAAATATTCTTGCAGAGCGATTTTATGAAAAATTCCGCATTACGCTTTATAATGTGTGGTAATTAAGATTTCTTTCCAATGAAAAAGTTAAATGAATATTCATGAAATCTTATTGCATGGAAATTATTTTTCATTTGCCATTTTATGTTATGTGACATTAATTTGTAAAATATTTATTAATTTGTAAAATATTTATTAGTTTATATTATAAATGATATTTTGTAATTATTTCTTTGTCGTTTTTAATTAATATATGCATTAAGTTACAATATGATAATAGTTTAAGCATGCATATTGATTTAGAAATTTATTTTACCCAGTAAATTTATTCAACATTTTACGTTAAAATAATCAAAACTTTGATGAACATAACTTTACTTTAATATAGTAATATAAATTTTATAATTTTTATATTTTATTTTACTCTTTAAAATACAAAAGAATTGTGAAAATATGAAATCAATAATTCAGGGGAACACAATAATATAGTTTAATCATAATTATGTTTAAATATTGATCTTCTAGTATTTATAATGTTTTTTTTATTGATATTCTAGTATTTATATATATTTTAGTATTTTGATATTCTAGTATTTATAATGTTTTTTTTTATAATGTGTGGTAATTAAGATTTTTTTCCAATGAAAAAGTTAAATGAATATTCATGAAATCTTATTGCATGGAAATTATTTTTCATTTGCCATTTTATATTATGTGACATTAATTTGTAAAATATTTATTAGTTTATATTAAAAATTATATTTTGTAATTATTTCTTTGTCGTTTTTAATTAATATATGCATTAAGTTACTTTATGATAATAGTTTAAGCATGCATATTAATTTAGAAATTTATTTTACCCAGTAAATTTTTTCAACATTTTAAAATAATCAAAACTTTGATGAACATAACTTTACTTTAATATAGTAATATAAATTTTATAACTTTTATATTTTATTTTACTCTTTAAAATACAAAAGAATTGTGAAAATACAAAATCAATAATTCAGGGGAACACAATGATATAGTTTAATCATAATTATGTTTAAATATTGATCTTCTAATATTTATAATGTTTTTTTTATATTGATATTCTAGTATTTATATTCTAGTATTTTGATATTCTAGTATTTATAATGTTTTTTTTTATAATGTGTGGTAATTAAGATTTCTTTCCAATGAAAAAGTTAAATGAATATTCACGAAATCTTATTGCATGGAAATTATTTTTCATTTGCCATTTTATATTACGTGACATTAATTTGATAGTTTTGTAAAATATTTATTAGTTTATATTATAAATTATATTTTGTAATTATTTCTTTGTTGTTGTTAATTAATATATGCATTAAGTTACTTTATTATAATAATATTTATATAATTATATAATTATAGTTTAAGCATGCATACATTAATTTAGAAATTTATTTTACCTAGTAAATTTAAATATATTCAACATTTTACGTTAAAATAATCAAAACTTTGATTAACATAACTTTACTTTAATATAGTAATATAAATTGTATAATTTTTATATTTTATTTTACTCTTTAAAATACAAAAGAATTATAAAAATACGAAATCAATAATTCAGGGGAACACAATGATATAGTTTAATCATAATTACATTTAAATATTGATATTCTAGTATTTAAAAATTTTCTAACAATTTGTAAGCACACTTTAATCGTGATTATATTTATATTCTAGTATTTACAAATTTTCTGACAATCTATAAGCACGCTTCGTGGCTTACTACGATTTATAAGAGCGATTTATTTCCGCCTACCATTGTAATATATATCCCATACAAAGAGGTAGTTCACCATTAGTGCACACGTAAATAACGTCTCTATGTAACATACTGCGTCTCAGTGAAAATTGCGTGTCTATCTCATCGAGTGTGTTAGGAAACTCGGAGTCGAACGCACACACACGCAAATATACGCACGTAACTACTTTACTTTCCGCAGCCTAATTATATTTGCCACGATATATACACCCACACACGTGTGTAGGTGTGTACAATACACACTGTGTATGTGCACGTGTGTATAAATGTATGATCGGATGTAGAGTAGTATCTAACTCTATAGAGTAGTTATCTAACAATAAGTGCATCGTAGCCGATGCCACATGTTATGCTGTCAGGTCGAACCTCGCAATATCGCGGATGTTCCGTTTGTCATTATCGATATCGGGACGATGGCGAACGGATATTTTTACGACGCTGCTTTCTCGATGTCGTGAACTTGCCGATGATATTAGAGGCGGATCGATCGTGTGCGAGGCTTCGAAAATACGCGTCCTCGTGTCTCCCTGAAACTTAATTCGATTCTCCTTATGTACACACGAGGATACACTTAACGGAACATCTTTCTCAGTTCTTGATAGAAACAAGACTTATGCATGTTTTCGAATGATTGTATTAGTAATAAGAAATACAACTGCTTGTGTAACAAGTGCACATATAAACAAACATGAATTTGACATTTATCAAAAAATATAATTTTACGGAAAAATATTTTTTAATTGAAATTGCAAACGCCCTTATATTATTACATATATATAGGAAGAATTGTGTAATCGTAAAATTACAAATATATCATAAAATAAGACAATAAAAAATATAATAAGAGATCGCGCAAGCATTTTGATATGATACTTTTATAAATTATTTATTGATACTGTTATTACATATTTTAAGACATAAATAGACAGATGAAATAATACAAAATTTCCGTCTAAAATAATATAAAACTTCCACAGAATAAATATTGCAGTTTTATTGCACAAATCTTTTTTTCTCGTTTAATAGACATTTAATAATATTTTTATTAATTTCAAATATTGTTCTCTCGTTTCTAGATCAGATTTACTTTGATTATTTTTTTTGTACCACGTATACAATTTGCGTGGATGTACCAATTTGTGAATTTCAATCTCAACTTGATATCGCGGGAGCAAACGCATACGCCTGCGGAATTTGACGCCGATTAAAACTATTTTAGTATTCCATCGGTGGCTGTGTATTGTAATTCGGGTTCAAAGGTTACATTTCAGCGCGAATTGTGCCCGCGCGTTGTGCGGAGTAATTAATCCTTATTTGGATCGGTAATCGTATCGGATCCATGATGTGGATGCCTTTCTTTAAAGGTCGTTTAAAGCCGAAAGAGCGATGCGCGAGTCCGAATGTGTGTCAAAAGCTTCACGATACACGTTGTAATTTTACTACCGGTGTTAAAATTCAAGCTTTTATTCGAACCGATCGAGTTCCATTCGCTGCACGAATTATAAATCGACTAGAAATACCATTGCTTTCGAATTCCAGTGATATGCGTGACATTTTTTCAATTATATTTTATATAATCGACATATATTTATATAATTGAATAAGGATCATTTTTAATAGAAAGTTCGGATAGTAATTTGTAATTAATTAAATTTTAAAATCTTCCAACTCTTGATTTCTTCTCCGGAACAAAATAAAGAGTTAAGTAATTTATATAAATCATTTTCTCGTGTTTATTATTTACATTCTTTTCATGATATTAATGTATAATCATGGAGTATATATTTTTATAAATTTCTTTTTAAAAATTGAAAGAAAAAGAGAGAAAGAGAAATTTATTTTTAGAGAGAATTTAATTAATTAATCTAACTTGGGAATATAATATTACAGGCTATCATATAAGTTTTCTTTTTACATGTCATGTCTCATGTATGAAATACACATTAACTTTTATCTGATTTCCATACATTTTCTAATTTTCATTTTTATTATGCTGACATTGTAAGGTCGATTTAAATCGCCGGAAGCGTGAGAGGTAAAACGTGCGACATTGCAAATGTCTCGATGTGGGTCAAATTTACTCTAGGATGACGGCTATGTCCTTGTACGCACCTCTGCAAATGGGTCATCGTTAAATATGGGTCATGGTCTTTTTCCCTCCCTGTCTCCGTCTTTTGTGAGCTATTCCGTTCGCGAAGCTCCTGCTTAGCGCGATTAACCACGTACAATACTATCTATAATAGTTTTCTCCCCTCTTCTTCCATGGGATGAATCGCCCATAACGAAAATAAATTATACGAAATTACTAAATTATACTTGTTCATCGAGAGAGTCGATTTTTTGTTTAATAAAAAAAATGCAATGCCGCAAACATTTTGCCGATTATCGCAAGTTCTGATAATGCTCAGCGAAATAAGTATCCGAATTTATATGAACGAAATCAAATTATGTTTGCAAAATGTACTTTACTTTAGGAAAACTTAGGATTACTAGCGTTGACAATAATTCATGCTAACTTTGATTTATTTAATTTTCTTTCATTGTTTGCGTTATGAAAAAAATACAAAATGGAAATCATTAATTTTAGTTTAATTAATTTTGAACTTGATAGTCTATTTTAAATGATCTGTAATTCGGAACAAAACTCAGAATTGAGAGAGAATTTTCATTTATTATTTTATATACTGCTATTTAAGTAATTTGATTACTCCATGAAATAAAATCCATGAGATTTACTGAAATTTAGAGTTTTGAAGCTTGAAATTTGTTTAATAAAAATTGCATAATCGTCGTGAGTTTTTCATGTTAAACGATCTGATCAATTCAATTTCTTGAATTTTAATAGGATGTATATATTTTCTCATATTGGAGACAATAAACAATATGATGATTGATTAAAATTGTTGGTATTGATTCAAGAAGAAACAATCTTTTTCTTATCATTGATATTTTCTTTGCCTTTAACCTTCCTTGCTTTCTCTCTCTCTCTCTCTCTCTCTCTCTTTTTCTACCCACGATATTCTTCAAAGCTTTAACCTCTGACTTTACCCTTGGAAATATCCTGTTGTTCGAGAAAATCTCCACTGTTTTTCAGGATAATCCAAACTTATGAGCAATTAGTCGACCTCGTTCAATCTACGCGGCCCACCACAATATTATAGACTAGCAAAGGGTATTCATAACGATTTATGTTGTTCAGGAAGATTTCCGTGAACGATCCTGTTGCATGAGATGATCGCACGAGCGTGAAATACCTGTCTGAAATCTTAAGATTTATGTCTTTCTGAATATACGCTAAAATATACTAGCCTTCTATTTTCAAAAATTTGATATATTTTAACAATATGATTTTTACATTTTTTTAAAAATCCTCGAAAATCTCCTCGAAATCTTAAATGATCTATTTTGAAAATCTTTATGTATCTAGAATTTTTGACTTCACCTTTTGACTAATAACTTTTTACTTTAATTTGCTTATATCCAGATTCTTCGGTCTTCAAGTTCTTGTTAAAATTACAATTTTCATATTTATAATTAGATCCAGTATAAATATTAAATTTAAAAATTATTATTTTATGCTCATCAGTTACTTGACAAGATGCGAAATAAAAGATAAACTTTATGTCGATATTTGTGATATATTATATTTTACTCGACTGTTATTTGACTCGATTGTTCGTCGACATTAAGAATTAAGTAAGGAAGTTTTGACAAATTGAACTAAGTTAAATTTTGACAAGTATGAGTTTCCCTTAATCTTATGACGTCGGATTAAGAGATCCCTAAAATCGATGAAATGTGTTGTTCATTTGGTTGCAGTGGATTTTAGGCTAAGAATAACGAATTTCTCTTGCAGTACATGACGGAAAAGATGGGCGGAGCAGAGGGAACAAAGCTTGACGTTGATTTTGTGGATATGGAGAGGGTGAGTAGTGTATTTCCGCGCACTTTCTATGCGTGTGTATATGTGTGTTAAGTGAAGAAGAACGCCTTCCATATTTTTGCACGATTCCTTTGTGAGGCCGTCAAGAAAGAGATGACTTGCACATTCTATATGGAAGCATTATTACTGAATTTCAAAGATTTACCCGGCTTCTCTTAGCTTTGCCGGTGGTCCTATCAATCATTTAGAGGACTTTCAGAGGACCTTCTTAACGCTTCCATACGAAATACGAAGTTAGAAAAGCACTTTATCGCCTTCTTTCGATCGATTTATGTTTAATATAATAATCATTTTGATTTATTATAAAACTGGTGAACAATTTTCTCGAAAACGCTTTGTCAATTTCTTGTGAAATTGCTTAATTCTACGATTTTGAATGCATGAAATTTCATAATACTAATTGTTTTCATATAAATCTATGTCAATTATAGTTTGAGATAAATAGAAATCCATGGTAAAGATTTCTCTCTTCTTACAAATTACAAGACGAAGATTCAGGCCAATGTTTGATCTGTCAAAAATAAAGCGATTAGATTTTACCCATGTTGAATGTACCAAGAAACACGATTGTAAAACAAGAGGATAGTTCAGGTTACAATTGCCTTATGCGAAATTGTGCAGATATTACTTCCAGAAAATAATATCTCGAATGCCTCGCTTTACTCGCTGGAATCGATAATCCATCTCTTATATACGGATCGTGAATATAATACCCTCGAGTCTTAAAAAGAATTTCTTGATATTCTCGTCAATGCGAATCAATGCAAGAGACAGAAAAACTCCACATAAAAATATCACGTACGCAGAAAACAGACGTCACGTATGAGCTCGTGGAGGAGCTGCAGATGAAAACGAAGGAGTTCCTTCAGCCGAATCCAACGGCGAGGGCGAAGATGGCAGCGGTCAAGGGCATCAGCAAGCTCAGCGGTCAGGCAAAGGCCTCCACCTACCCTCAGCCGGAAGGTGTACTCGGCGATTGCATGTTAATGTACGGCAAGAAAATGGGCGAGGACAGCATTTTCGGTACATACGATTTCATTCCGACACAATCGTGTCGAGGAAAACAGACGATCCGCAGCTCTCTCTCTCTCTCTTTAAAATAAAAATCTCCGCTAGAGAATAAAATATTTCTGTATACGAGTCGTGTTTTCTCTAAGAGTATTCTTATGTCAGCTATGTTACTGTTATTTCTACTCGTAAAACTAAAATTATTTTCATATATTTCATTCGAAAATGTATTTTCTCTGTCACGAGAAAAAATATTCTTTTTTTTTTTCAACAACTTGTTTCTTCGACAATTTTTTATCCGACATTTTTGAAAATCAAGTTGAATAATTATTTTAAACAATAAAAATGGTTTTTCGAGTTGTATCGTTTTCCCATCGAAATTTATTGACGTTTGACGCGAAATACGTCTGGTAAAGAGGCGGAATGATCACTCGATTGTCTAAACATCACCTTATTTTGCACTCCTATCAATCCAGCCCAGGCTCTCATTGAAATGGGCGAGGCCATGAAGCAGATGGCGGACGTGAAATATTCGTTGGATGATAACATCAAGCAGAACTTCCTCGAGCCGCTACACCATCTGCAAACCAAGGATCTCAAAGAAGTGATGGTACGGTTATTAGAAAAGTTGTGCGCTCTAGAGAAATCACCGCGTTTCGCGCTTTCGGTTCTGACGCGAAATACGTTCGATCCTCACTGATTTGTTGTTTCCAGCACCACCGGAAGAAACTGCAAGGCCGTAGGTTGGACTTTGATTGCAAGCGAAGACGCCAGGCGAAAGGTACGTTAAAGTTCTCCTCTCTGCATGTGTGCTCTCGTTCTCTCGCGCTCTTTATTGATTTATTCAGCGAGCGGCGTCGCGCGTGTCCTTGCGTCTCGTCGCTCGCAATTTGAAGAATTGAAATAAAAACCACGACGACGAGGGAACAGTAATGCGCATAATAACGCGACACGATGGAAGATTGCACCTCTAACGGAGAGGAGCCAGAACCGCACGATCGTGATCTCTCGTGATAGCGATGTCGTAAAAGAAAATGACATTACAGCAAGGCTCTTCGATGTCGAGGGGTCAAAACTGCAAAACCGTCATTTTCACGGAGATAAAAGTCTCATGACCTCTCCTCTGCAAGCGGAAAATATACACCTCCGATAGGAAAAAATGCCACGGTTGCGAAATCGTCCCCTTTTTTTCGAGATTGTGATGCGAATGAAGCACCGAGAACGATTATAAGAAACGATTATAAGTTATAGTCGCAAAAATGTGTCTTTAAGGATGTTTTGTATGTACAATCCCAGCAAAAAGTAGCTGAAAATCAATATTGATGAATATATCCACTTGTATGGTGTATTTTGAGAGAATAAGAAATTGTGTGGAATATTACAATTTGATTCTTAGCTACAGTACAGAGATGTATTTTTTAATCTTTATTGCGTTTTTGTTGAAATATATTCCGAATTTTGTTAAGGATATATTGGAGATATATTACAATCAATGAGATCGCCGTGAATTTTTAATTTAACATTCTTAATATACTAATAACTTACTCTTAATATACTAATAATATACTAATAACATTCTAAATCGTCATGAATTATTTCAAATTTTTTTACTTACTCCTTTAAAAGTTATTAATTTTTGAATTTTGCGATTTTAACGTAGGACCTTATGTAAACGTTCAAGAGACAGATAATTATTCACAAACTATAAAAAAAACAATGATAAAAATTTCATTTTGTAATATTATATTCTTCATACATGTAAAAATGTTCCCACAAAGTTTTAAAACGATTTACTTGCTCGTTTTGAAATTATTATTAAAAAATAACTGTGATTATCGGTTTGACGTAATATTGATAATAAAACGTATATACAAATTTATACATTTTCTTGGAAATTAATACCTATTTATATTAAAGAATACTTTGAAATATGATTTCGTGATTTTTAAAAAATTTTTGATCAATTAGAATTCGTATTTTTCTTAACCAGTTAGTACTTGTATAATATTATTTGACCAAATATTTTCTCTGTATCTAAACTTTTGCAAATTTTAAAATTTTAAAAATTCTGAATATTATTTCCATGTGTTTTTGTCATTTGAATCAACATGGTTATACGTTTCCCAAAAGAACACATGTTAATTCGGTGCAAATTAAAATCCTTATGACTTGTGAACGCTTTAGTGAATCGATTTAAAAATGGTACTGAAGATTCTAAACATATGTAAGGACATTCTGTACAATTTTCATTAAATTCTGTACAATTTTCATTAAATTCTCAATATTTTGAAAATATATATTTACAAAACATCCTTAAATAACGATTTTTTTTTAAATTTATTATCAGAATTTCTTTCTTTATATAAATAAAATTTAACGAAATCTTTTGAAAAAAGATACAAGAATAAAAGTTAGTTTATTATTGTTTTGTCAGTTTCGTTAATGTAACATATCTTTTTTTATTGTAACATAATTTAAATCTCGATTAATACTAACTTATTATTAGTTTTGCGAATTTTATCATTAACTATTATTACATTGTGTCAGGTAAACGATTTAACGCTTTGGCTATTACCTTGTCTCTTCTTTCCAAGTTTTATACAATTTTTATTTCGATTTTACTTCGCTTATATTTTTCCAGCGAAGCAACTTGATGGATTTTTTAAGAAGCTTTGTTTTTCACTGTCGGCATGCACAGCTAAAATAAAAAGCTAAAATCGTGTCTCATACATGATTCGCTCTTTCATAATAGCGTCATTAAGATGAAATCGTTGCATGAATAGATTAAAATGATACAATTCTTGTTTTTGTGATAGAAAAAGATCTCTTACTCGCACGCTGCGCTGCATGAGTACGTACGAATAGAATAATAAATCAGCATCATATTGTGAATTTACAAGTAGAGCGAAGGGAATGCGAATGCTTTTCTCTAGTGTATCCACTTTATATGCATCAGGAATTAATTTTCATATGATCAATTCACTTACTGTTTTAGTAAGTAAGCTATTTATAAATACGCGGAATAAATTTGTAGTATTTTAATTTAATATATGAGGAGGAAAGATTTTTTTGTCCGTATTTTTATGTAACTTTACATAAATATTAATTTAATAAACTTACATATACAGGATGTTCCAAAACTCATAATCAATCTTTCAAAGACAGATTCCTGGGATCATCTGAAGACGATTTTTCCTCAACGAAAATGTCGAGGCACTAATAATTTTCGAATTATAAGTGATTGGAAATAAGAGGTTTTTCGTAAACTAAGCTTTGTAGAAATAAAATATTAACAAAACCACATTCTTCGATTAATTTTAAATAGAGTTTACTTTAGTTGAGTTTTAATTTAAGGCTTAATTGCAAAGATATATGATGACAAAAATTGGGAACATGCAAAAAATGTTGGCCTTCATCGAAATTTTCGCTGAGGAAAACTCGTCTCCAAATGATCCCAGGATTCTGTCTTTGAAAGATTGAGTATGAGTTTTGGAACACCCTGTATATTAATTTTATATTATATATTTATATGAATTATATATGCATTTATAACAAGAAATTTCTTAGATTTTTATTGAAACTAAAAAATAATGATTGCGAATTATTTCGAATTTTCAATTTGTTTAGAATGACAGTTGTGTCTGATGAGTAATTACATTAATACATTTTGTTATCATGAGTCTTTCACGTTATCATGATTTGCCTCGAATGATTTTCGCTTTTTACTGACAATTGGTGTGATTGGTGCCTATTTTTCGTTGGGCTTAACAATTAGCGACTGGGAAGAGGTCCATCAGTCCGCATTTCGGAAGCCCAGCGCGGTCGAGCACCTCGTCGCCGTATGTTGGTATGGTGACTTTCGTTATGCTCTTAAGAGCTTGTTGTTATCCTGTATTTTTGGAATTTTGCCATTATTATATATCGTCGATCAATACATCCTCCCACTGATAGTCGCTTGTAAAATTCCACGAAAGTTTCCAAATGACGAAAATAGTTTTGGAAATTTCTAAAAGATAGAAAGACGTCTGAAATTTAGAATATTTTTTTATGTATCTTTAAAAGAAATATCTCTGAAAAATATATCGTTAGATATTTTTAGGAGGTTTATTTAAAAGATTCGTTTAAAAAAAAATTAGCCCTTTAGATTTTATGTTGTTCTTATGCCAATATTAAAGAATGATAATTTTCACAAGTATTTACAATGACACTGAGAACATGCTTTTTTACAGTACCAAGAAATATATTGCTTGCGAAGTCGTAGAATTAATTACGCTTTTTTATCGTTTCTCCCGCGCTGTATTTTAAGTGTTTAGATTTAGGAAACAAGCAACCCCAGTAGTGCAACCTTTTTAATGCCGTTGGCGGGGCAACCGTTTGCGAACAGGTTCTCACGTTTCAGACGACGAGATTCGTCAGGCCGAGGAGAAGTTCGCGGAGAGCCTTCATCTGGCGCAGATGGGCATGTTCAATTTGCTGGAGAACGATGTAAGTCGTCGTCGTTAAGCATATGTGCGGACCAAGATTTTCACATCGTTCTTTTGCAGATCGAACAAGTCGCTCAATTGGCAACCTTTAGCGAGGCTCTTCTCGAATACCATCAACAGTGTACTGAGATACTTAAAGGGTTGACGGAGACGCTTTTCGAAAAGTATGTTTGCAATGCAAATCACGGTACAGAATTCCACGACATAGAAGTATATTCTCAATGTATGATTTTTTTTTCTTTTTGACTTTATGACGCAACGAGCTAGGATTTTCTTGAATAACAGCATTTTATATCAGTGCATTTTTTTTATAAATAGATAAGAAAATTTCTCATGCGCGAAAGAAGTCTTAATGTAACTTTATCCATCAATGTATTTGAATGTATGACTATTCTTTCTTTTAGAATTTGAATGTATGACTATGCTTTCTTTTAGACGATATTGTGTACGAATGAATTTTACTAATTCCTTAGGAAAGATGAGGCGATGAACCGACCAAAGCTGGAATTTGTGCCGAAGACATTGGCAGATTTGCACGTGGAAGGTGGATTGTCGGACCACATGAACGGTGGGAACTTCTCCCTTCACGGTAAAACACATTTCACAGATACTCCACACACGGCGCGATGACACTCGGGTGGTCTGGCTGTGTCTAACTGTTCCTTATTCTCTCTTTTTCTCTGTCATGCCGACGTTTACGTGTCCTTACGTGGTTCCACATTAACCGATATATTGTATCTGTCTCTTATATCCCTCCCCCTTCGGCGAAACTATCCAATGTTAAATTTTTTCTGTGCTTTGATCTCACGCACAAACTTATTACCCGCCCCCTATCAAAATATCGATTATTTAATTTTACGATTTATTTAATTTTACCTTCTGAAATTTTATCTCGTCTTTTTTCCTGCCGATATGAATAAAACGTTATATTCTCAATCTTTCATGGATATTTAAATCTAGATGCAAATTTTCATTGAACGGTTAATTTAATGTGAGCTAATGTAAATAAAAAAAAGGAGAAATAATTTAATTTTTTTCACACTTGTTAATATTTCCATTTATTAATATATCAAAATGAATATTTCAAATTAAGGGAATTGAGATATAGATTGAATTTTCTTACTTATTTTTTAAAATTAATTTAGACACATGACATAAATCGAAAAGATTTATTTAAAGATTATTTAATGGGAGAATATATTGATGATTAATCCTAAAGTGAATATCCGTGTATTGATATATTTATCATACTGTCAATTAAATGTCGACGTATCAAACTTGGTCCTTTAAGGATCGATGTCCGTGATTATGCGTGGAATACACACACACACACACACACACACACACGTGCGCGTGCACTTCCGTCACACTGTCATATTATCACATTATTCTTCCTTTGATTGTGCTGTGTGTATAATGTGGCATACCTGTCTGTCCTTCTGACACAATGTAGGGGCAAGTCAAGCCGGCTCTCCGATTCATGCGGACGGGAAACGCTCGCAGCTCGAGCTATTTCCGGCCGGAAACCCGCCACAATCTACCAATGGTAAACTTTGCATGGGGGTTTCCTTTTCTCTTTCTCTCTCTCTATTTGGCAAACAAATGAACCCTTCTCTGAGTTGCTCGAGGGCGGTTGTATCAACTGTTACGTTATTAAGGACGGTTAACGCCGCTCATAATTACCTAAAGTTTCTCGCTCTCTATCTGATAACAATGTTCTGGGAACACGATATTAGTTATCAGAATCAATAATCAAGATTGTTGGTGCAACTGTAATCTTGATGTCTCCTTCATTTTTCTTTCGATAAAATTACCCACCGCTTTCTTATATAACGATGCCGATGATCAATCACTATGCATGTTTGTCAGATAGTGCCTTGCCACCCTGTGCCGTAGTAAAGAATAGTGCTGAATAATTTTTAAGTAATCAAAAAAACTACAACAAGAAGGAAAGCAGCGATTATAAATAAAATTCTTACGTAATATAATTTATTATGTCAATAAAAATAATTATTTCAATAAATTCTTATAAATATGTAATAATTTATATTTCGATGCAAAAGGGATGCAATCAAAACTTACAGAATCATAGCATTTTAATTTGCATTTTTGCACAAAAAAATATGAGAATGTAATTTTTTATTATATAATATAATATATAATATAATTATATTATAAATTATATTATAAATTATATTATATAATATAATTTATTAATATTAAAAGTGTAAGTAAACTTTGAAAGATTCTATCTTTTCTTAAGGCATTTTTAGAAAACAATATATTAATTGCACTTAAAAAAGTAGATAAATTGTATCCTTCTTGCTGCAAAGGCTTCAATTAGCTCACGCAGGTTTGAGTTAAGTTATTGATTTTATTCGAGGAGTTTACTTTTACTTTCTCGAGCATTCTAATGTAAATGCATTTTTGATTTTTGCATTTAGAAAGAAATCGCGACATCGCGCACTGTTATCATTGCACGATGTTTTTTGCGCGACCACCGGGTCGCCGATTGTTAAATGTTGTAGTTTGAATGCATCGCGATACACGACGCGCAGTCAGTTTCTGTCAGATTAGCCCAGCGCTTTCGGTAGTTTTAGCACACTCGTGCCGACTATTTTCAGCTTCACCCTTGCCCTCACCGAGCAAATCGCCCGCGAGGACGCCGATAACACAGCCGAGAACGCCATGCTGCACAGCCCTATACGACTTCGAACCCGAAAATCCCGGTGAACTTGGATTCAAGGTAAAAAAATCGCGTATTATTCGCCAAGTACTCAAGCAACGTCAATGTTCTTTTTTTTTTTTTAAGGAAAGATATCTAGAAGATGTTTAAAAGATGTGTGATATCCTTCAAAATATCAATTTTTCAAATGATTTTGAAAAAAATATCCATTTTAGACACAATTTGATTTACTTCAGTTGATTTCATAAACATAAATATGATAAAATATAAATATAAGTTTGATTCACACATTTCGATTGAATTTTCTTCATTCTTTTGCTGGACGTCTTTTTAGATTTCTTTCCTGGATTCTTATTGTCTTTTTTTCGGAGATGAATAATTAGCGCTTGCTTGCATTAACGATCGCGATATTTTCTTTGCAGGAAAACGACACGATCACCTTGACTCAGAAAATCGACGAGAATTGGTTCGAGGGCAGCCTGGACGGCCGCACTGGTTACTTCCCTGTGACTTACGTGCAGGTCGTAGTGCCATTACCCTAAGAGGACGCCGCGCATCTCGAAACCAAAGACCCTGCATATTCGTTCACTAGCGTCTACCACTACAGGATTATTCTGCTCTCCAGCTAGCCTAAAACCTAGACAACCCTTCGACAAAAACTTATCTACTATATCTATCTCGATCTTATCTAACTTACGTTGCGGTTTCAAACTTGTGTCCAAGACGCGATACACAAATTTCTCTAGCATTTTTTCCTCGCACCCCTTACACAGAGAGACCCCTTTCCGCAGATCCCGAGAATAGCCTCTATTACGCATGTTAATGTACATATATAATGTTATAGTGTATTTTATCGACGTAAGGACCTTCGCGCGCGCAGATACATAAACACACATAAACATAAATGCGTAACCAGAAAAAATGTGCATAGATACATTATAGACGTATTATATACCTATATACAAATTACACAACAAATACATACACAGATGCAAATAATCTATATTAAAATACACACACACACACACATATGAAAACTTATATAGACACACAGAACATTTACCTACAATAGCAGTTCACTGTCAAGGGCGGCTCTCTCTTCATCTTCTTTTCTACATTATCTATCTTCCGCCTCGTTGAGATGCTTTCGAATTTTCACAGAGTGCACAAAAGAAAAAGATCGAGCGTAATGTGAATCAATTATAGCGGGGCGTCATTTTTATCGATATATTTCTTTGAGATTCAATTAATATCATTCCGAAAATATTCTATCGTTCCGATAATGAGCTAAGACTAGGCATACGTTTCTGTTGCACATTATGAATTTCGGATCAGGTGAGATTACTCCAGTGAATTGGACTTTCCGCTAAGACGGATAAAAATTTCAAACTTAGCATTGCTCCATTGATGTTAATTCTAAAATTTTTTCTCTATATTATAAATAGGATTTGAAGGAACATAGTTGAAAATGCTAAATTAGAATTAGAAAATTTAATCAAACAATGTCGTTTAGTCTAAGAAGATAGTTTATACTTTTCATGTAAAAAACATTAAATGGATTATCTAAAACATCAGCTAGTTTTTAAACTGAATTTTTAATTATTACATTTTTAATTGTAATTATTACATTTAATATTTTTAATTATTACATAATTGAACGGCTGGAGCAATCTTACTTCGGAATTTGTTTGTTTTTCTTTCATGTAACATAAAAGATTTTAAAATCTATTAAAAATCGCATAAATTTCTTCATAAATCTCACTTATTGTACAATCAAATGCATGATTTTCCTCTCATGAGAATTCAATTAGTCAATTCGCGGCACATATTTTGCGTTTGGTCCGCGCGGCGCAACAAACTCGTTACTCGTATAATATATTCGTAATGATAATGTTATAGCGATTCGTTTTCATTCCTTCAGTCGATCCATCGTTCCTTCGACTATTCACCGTTCCTTCTTTATCTTCTCTTGTCTCCATTTTCTTTCGTTCTTTTTTAATTACTAGACGATACTAGCTAGAAGTTAGGATTTACTTTAAGCGAACCTCGAAATGTGGCGGCGAATCTCTTCCACGAAGTCATTATCGATTTATCTGTGTGATTATTGTAAATAATTCCTGACATTGTGTGTGTGATTGTTGTTTTCGATCATATTTCTGATAATTTATTCATTGTCGAGAAACTTTCGGATCGATGCTGATGATGATAAAGCAAAATTTAATGGAAAATCTATTTATTGTAAAGTATATATAAAAGTCAATTATCCTTTATATTCACATACGTGATTATATTACTATCAGTTTTTATTTGAAAATAATTTCAGAAAAAATATTGGCGATCGAGATATTTAGTTATATGTGTGAAATAAAAAAATTATTTCTAGCGCTAATAACAAAACCATCAACATGGTTTTGGAACCCTGCAAAATTAGTCTTTTTAAACAAGTAATATAATTTTTAATTAATATTTATAACTTCTTTTATCGAATCTTATTTTACTGAATTTTCAGCACATCCGAAATTTTTCCTCATCATATTTTTTGCATCATCAAGTTCTGTTTGCTAGCGTGATATTTGTTTTAAAGGAATTTTCAATTTCTTTCCAGGATGTAAATATATTTGTAATTTTTTTATGTGTACACTTCAAAAATAACAGATACAATAATTTTAATTAGTATTATTATTCTCTAGCATATAATAGTGCAAGAGATTGTGAAACAATAGCCTTCGCGTTTCATTCAGAATGTATATATTTATACACACACATTAAGTATACTTTATGTACGTATGCCCGACAATTCGCAGTATCCTGATATCAGTTATCCTTCCCGCTTTTTGACTTTGTATGAGAGTTCAACCGCCAGAACAATGAAAGTAATTAAGGAACTTGGTTATTTGTTGCCACGTGGATTTTAGGTAAAATCTTCGAGCGATATCTGCTAAGCATAATATATAATGACACTAGAATATATTACTTACACATATACATACTGTCGATAAGAGAGGGCGACGGCAAACACGACGACGTTTTATTATCTCATTGCTCGTGTATCTTATTTTCATTATTATCAATTGTAATCGCGTCACAAATTTGCGCGAAAAGTGTTTTTTGATTATGTACATTAAAGTAATTATACTAAATCGAAAGAGATTTCCGAAAGGTGACTCTGCGACATCCTCCGAATTGAATGTGTCATTTAATAGGAAATCATATATGCATGTTAATAAGATAAATATATAAAAAAAGATATAGGATAGTCTAATTTCCAGTAAAATTTTTAGCTTTTCGCTTATTCGAATAATTTTTGCCGTTCGTTCAATTATTTTCAGCGCGACAATATAGAGACTTTCTAAATAGATTATAGAGGTAAATAGTTTTTAAATAATCTAGAGGAATTTACGTACGTAGAATGTATTGTGCGGCATAAAGGAAAACGAACGGCTTGAAGTAGCGTTAATTATTCTTAATTATTCATTCCGTTGGAATTAACAAAATATTTACAAGAGTATTCAAATAGCGTATTAAATGTACTAGAAATACACTCAAATCGGAGAATGTTCTTTGCCCAAGCGTCGTAATAGAGACACGTACGATTATAATTAATCGTTTTCGATTATTATATCGATTAATATACCATCGACGTTATCATCACTTTGCTGCTATCACCGTCGCCAGTTAAGTCTTTACTTGAGAAAGACGACGAGTAAAAAGGGAGAAACAGGAGAAAAAATGCCCCGTACGCGAGTCTCACTTACATTATAATCGCTGTGAGATAAAACGAAGCTCCTTTCGGAACTCGAGGTGTTATCGATGTTGTGCAATATTAAGAGTTTAACAACACGATGTTTAGCCGGTGGGAACGGGGGGAGAGACATCGCTGGACCAGTGTTTCTCAAAACATCGTAAAGATGAAATGGGAACGGAGGGGCCAAACCGGAACGAAAGTGAACGGGGGATATGTCAAATCGGTCTAATAATTAATTTTGCTGATCAATGAATATGAAGTGTAACATTTACAAGGGATTTGTATTAATCTTCGCTTTCTAGAAGGCACATCGAAGTCTCCTTCGTCACTTTCGTTCGACGCGAAGCGAAAAACTTGCATCAAGTGGAACATAAATGGGAATAATGATTTTTACTCTCGATTACTCGCGCAATTTCTTCAAAATCTCTTAATATCCTTTCGCAAAAACATTAAATGTAATGGAATATATACAAGATTCAATCAATCACATCCTTATTATTCTAATTTTATACATATACAGACATAAATGAATTATATTGAGATAAATTCTTATATAATGATGTAATATGAAACATAGATAATAATTGTTGAAATTAAAATTTTAATTAAGTATTCGGCTTGTAAACTTATAATCCAAAAATGAATTTTTAATAGACTTTAATAATTAATAAAAAATTAATTTTTGAATCATTTTTAGATGTGATATAGATGTTTAATATGTAAAATTAAAAACAAATATATTCATTAAATTTGTAATGCGAGTAGTCGAGAATCAGAATCGACTTCTTACAACAACTCGATTGTGATGGGATCATGTTTTCTGTCTGTATAGTGGATGACCGGCGAAGCTTTGTCAATTAGAATGATAGCAATAAAATGCTAATTATCCTGCGTCGAGAGCAGGGGCGGGTAATGACTTTTCGGAGTTTTTCGAAGATGATAATTTCCAGGTCCCCAATGAGTGACCATCGAGAAGAGGTGTTGAAGAGAAGAATAAACGAATCTTCTATTCTCTACACAATCTACAGGATGTCCCAAAACTACTGCCACCACCAAAAATACATAGATATTAGAAGTAGGATATTAATAATCTCTGCGAGAGTGACAGAGAGTCTAGCAATTTTCACACACGTACATACAAATTAATATTTAATATAATTTTAGTAAATATATAAAAAAGGACAGATAATTTTAATAAAATGATTAGAGTCGGATAGCAAAACCGTATATATTTCGCTTAGTATGAAGTAGATCTTTTTAAACAGAACTTTAATTGGTGGACTAGTCTGTATAAATATCTTAAGTAGATTGTTGAGAGTGGCGGTATCTCTGCGACACCTTGTATGTCTTCAAAAATTCGACAAACATCTTCGAAATCGTTTAATAGCGAGGAGTCTGAGTTTTAAGTATTCTCGGTCCACACAAATCCGCCCCTGATCGAGAGTTCTCGTCGATCGGCATAACGAGAAAGTAAAATTTGAGAAACACTGCGCTGGAAGAAGAGAAAAAGATATATAAAGATGGCGAGATTGGCGCGATCGCGAGAGAGAGAAAGAGAGAGAGAATGAACTTAATGATTAATATTAAATCGGTATCTTATTCTATAAATGTTGGCTATTGTTAAATGTTGAATATTGTTCGGCGGTAGGCTCACGTGTTTTTGCCCGAGCAAAACGCGCGTTTATCGCTTGTCATTATATTTTTATTTTTGCAATTTGAGATAATTTCGAAATTAATTTTCATCGTTTCATATTTTTAATCATTAGACAATTTTAGAGACACTTTATAAACGATATAAGAAAAGAGCTTCAAAGAGCTCAAAAGCTACCCTTGTAACACAAAATACCTTGTAACAATTGATTTAATAATTTAAAGTTTAAAAATTAGTAATTCAATTTCGAAATAATGAGTGAACAATAATATTTTACTTAACGCTGGATAATTTTTTAATATAAAACTACGTGTTTCTCGGGCGAGCGCGATGAGTTCTCCGCGTTCTAATTGTAATCTAACTATTTGGGGATCGAGCGGACGTATGCCGGATCTATCGACCCCGTAAAAGAAAAAACAAATCACTGAGCATCCTTGGTCACGGAGAAAATAGTTTTCCCTCTTTCCTCACCTTTTCTCTTTCAACTCCCTCGCATTATCTCTCTTCTCCTTTATGCCTCCCTTCCCTTCCTTCCTTCCTTCCTTGCATCTGCCTGAATACGAACAGGTCTCTGTTTCTGTACACGATATGCGCGAGATATCGCGACGAATCTCGTGTTTTTCGAAATGTGTCGGACCTACTTATATTTTGTAAGCGCCAGAAAATCCGGGATATGCGGGAGACACGGGATGTCGTTGAGCCGGTATTAAAAATTTAGTGTCCTCTCGATGATCCTCTTCTCCTCCGATGCATCATCCCTTAAGCACCCCTTCCCCGCCCCGTCCCAAGCCGTTGATCCCCGTTTTGACGGAGCGCAAAGGGGGCGACCAATGGATGCAACGCAGTGATACTTTCAGACAATACATTACGATTAATTACACTTGTATTGGTAATAAATTAATCTACTACGATTATATTAAACTCGATTAAAGAGAAATATATGATATATATATATATATATATATATATATATATATATATATTCAATTTTGATCAATGCTAAATGATTATTATAATACTAATTGAGAAATAAAGTGTGCTCTATGTCACAACGTGGGTTTTATTCGGAATAGATTCTATTTTGCAATCCATATTTATCTTCGCGGAGAATGAAATGTGAATATCAATTATCAACTTTTTATATTCTTTTCTATCTTCTTTTTTATATATTAATTATTTATTAATTAATTATTTTAATTAATTATTTTATATATATATTGCTTATTTAAAATGATGACCCACTTACATGTAATATAAAATATTTTTATAGTTGTATTATTCTTATTTAATTTTATTTATAAAGTATAATATAAATTATAATTATATAATATATAATTTGTTAATTATATAATTTTATAAAATATAATAATATATTATAAAATTATATAATAATAAATATAATTTTTATTATTATAATATATTATTATAATAATTTTTATTATTATATAATTTTATAATTTTATAATATAATTATAAAAAACTGACAAACTCTCTAAAATTTAATTTCATGCAATTAATCGGAAATCTTATTCCTTAGTCACATCAATATACAATACTAAGACGATATTTCACTTTATATCTTAATATATTATTTCGATCGTTACACATATAGAAATATAATAGCGAGCGCAAAGAGTCAAAAAATAAGAAGAAAGAAAAGATTAGGGCGCGCTCAGATCATTTGCAGAGTTAACCAACCCCGTGACATGATTTACCGAAAAAGAGGGGATGAGGGGGGACGGGGTGTACGCACAGCAGGGTACGGGTACACCGCATCCATAATGCATATGTGTCTTCCCTTCTGTGGACATAATTGTATGCGATATTACCCGGGGGAGCGCGACTCTCTTCTCGACGGCCGCGGTAACAAGGCATACCATCATCATTCCGGGGGGTAGGATCTACCCTATCGTAAAGAGCCACCCTTCTCGCCGCGTAGCCACGTGGTATCGTAGGAATCCGCGAGAGCGAGCCCGGGTCACGGTCGATCTCCTTTTCTCTCCAACGGGGGTGGGTGGTCATCCTGACAGCGAACGCGCGAAATATCGCCTTTTGATGCCCAATTACAGAGGCGTCGCTTCTTTATACGTTTCTTCTTCACAGCCGAGCCATCGCTAAGCTCGCCGCGGTAACCAGGAAGCTTAAATCGACGTCCCTCGGGAGACCAGAGCGATTTTATCCGAGACGTTAAGATTGCGTTCTCTCAACGGGAAGAAATGGGATTGTGTTAAAAAGTAGGAAAGAAAATTTTTTGTGCATTTTTTTTAGAAATTTAAAGAATATTAAAGCAACATGCTGATATAATTGATAAGATTTCTTGATAGTTTGCGAAGAATCGCAACTTGTAGAAAATTTTATATCAAGATTCACGCAAGATCTCACTTGTCGAAAAAATAATTAAGAAGATTGTTCGATCCTCGACTACAGCGCAAAGTTGCAATTTCCAATCTAGCTTTTTTTTCTCCAAGCGAGCGAGGGTGATGCCGGACATAATTTTGGCAGGGGGTGAGACGGGAACAGGTCGAATTACTTTCCGCGCACAATGCGAATGGCTCGGCCGCTTTCTTGAAATAGACTGGTGGGGCTGTTTTTATTAACGTATGAGAGAGGGGACACGTAAGCGGCTTACTTCCTGCAATTAAAATGTTTCTTTAAATACCCGCCGCCCCGACGTTTCCATTGTGGACGATTGGAGCGCGTATTTAAATCGCGGCTCGTTATACGCGACCTTTGCGAGATGGAAGCGCACGTAAGTACCGTGAAAGCAATCGATTCGCGATGCTATCGGCGATTTTTCTCTCGCATTTTAATTTACGTTCTTTTTTCGGACGTTATTTTGCTTCAAAAACGGGGGTTGATTTCTAATTGTACGAAAAAAAATATATATTTAAATAAATTGTATAGAGAAATAAAAATCAAAGTAATTAAAATTAGAAGAATGGAAAGATGTGCATATGCAATTTTTAATTGTTTTATTATTGGAACAATCATATTTTTCATTTCCATTTTTCAATTTAATTTTACTTACCGCTATTTATTAAAGATGCCTTATTTTTTTTTACCCTCTTTCGGTGTTTTCTTTCTTGCCAAGCAATTTTTGCGCAATCATGAGGGCGCGCAGAAAAGATCTCTCGTTTCCTTACAAATTCTGCTAGTTACGGAGTTGGCTCCGCGAAACGGAACCGATTTCGACAAGACGCGCGGACGGATATCCCCGGTATCGTCGAGACGTGACGTACTTACGGGAGAAAAAATCGGCGCAACGAGAAGAATCTGTTCCGCTCCTCGTATTTGCAGATTCCTCCCGGGAGGCGACCTCCTCGCGAGGCTACATTCGCGAAGCCAATTTGCCGGAACATTAGACGCAGACGATGTTTCTGCGACGGGCATCCATTATTGACATTCTCTTCCCATGATCCGATATTATCAGTACCGATATTTTATAAAATTGGCATAGAAACTCTGAGCATAACATTTGTCTCTCTTTCCTTTTTTAGAAAAAAATTTCTTACCTTTATATCATAATTAATGTACAATAAATAAAGAAATTGAAGAATGATTGAATACAACATCTTGTCAAGCTCTATTATAATTATTTTTTTTAAACTTTAATTTAATTTATGTTTGTTAAATTATAAAAATCGAGAAAAGGGATAATAAAATTGGGATAAAAGATAAAAAGAAACATCTCGATTGATAATAAGTATTACTTCATAATCCTCTTTCGATTTTTGTATCAAATAAATTAATCAATCAATCTTAGAAAATTTTAGATTAACATAATTTCCCTTTACGGAAAAACAATATGATGTTTTCCACAAGTGCCTAATATTCTAGCAAAATTACATTTGCAAATCGGGTATATAATTCTGTCAATCGTGCGTTGAAGCAGTCATTTTGTGCTTGCGACAGTGGTATTTTCGGGAGCGATGCGTAAAAAAGTACCATGTGTGGTCGGGATCCGAAATTCTGCTGACGACCGTTCGGGGACCGCAGCAGGGCTGTATCAGTTAAGGGTTTTTGCTCACTGGAGCGTCCTTACGTACCACGGAAGCGAGAGGGCTCCCCAAGGATTTTGCACGGAGCGGGATATAAGAGACGAAGATTACGCCGTGTATCTCCTGTACAATGCACAACGCAGCCGTTTCTCCAGTAATTGAAAAAGATTTGTTTCCTCGGAGACGTGTCTCGATTGTCGCGCTGATGTATTGTTGCAGCAGTTGCGCGATTTCCGTCGCCAAAGTTTCGCGAAAGTGGACAAAGCAAACGAAACTTTGATAAAACTACTGCTTTAAGATGAACCAGGCTCGGAGAGATAAAATTTGCTATTTTTTTTCTCCGATATTATTATCATAAATATTTAGTGATATCATTATTATTATAATTATTTATTTTTACTAAGGAGAGTATAATTCTTAACTAAGGGAGAATTTCGTGAAATATAATATTACATAGCAAGATTACATCTGTTACGTAACATTACGGACTCTCATTGACAGAGGTTGAGGGTAATTGCGTCTCTCCCCCCCCCCCCATCCACCCTTGCTTCTTCCCATGACTCTTCTAGCGATCAACATCTTTTATTGAAACCTTGGGTTACACTCGTGGGTTTTCACACACGCTGTCATCTACAATATGTTCAATGATGCAATTTATTATATATTACTCTACGAGCGGCGATACTTACAGCTGCAGCCTACGGCATAAAAGCGCGCGAGGGATTCTTTTTTTTTTTTCTTTAATTTGATTCGCTCATATCCGTTCAATTTATCTCGATCGATTTGTCTAAATGGATTACACAACGAAGTATAATTGCACTGTGTATATCGTCCTCGCGATAAGTTTTATCTATCGATTCTAAGCTACACTGGCTACTCCGATGCCGGGAGCAATTATTGACGTTGCGACGAAATTTTCGGAGAAACTGCGGCAGATTATTGTTAATATAGTACTCCGAATTCATCTCTGATACATCATTTGTGGTATACGCATAACTTAAATTATGCATTAAATGATTTCTACATTTAAATTCGCGAATAATAATTCTCAATAATATTACTCGCAAGAAACTTTATATAATAAATTAATATCACAAATTAATTAAGAGCAATGACGATTTAATGATCAGTTTCCGCCAATAATAACTGTCGTTTTTTAAATATTTACATAATAATCATACTATGAAAAACCTCTAATATGGTATTGATTCATTTTTATAATAGCACTTGACTTAATAAAAGGAGGCAATGAGGCTTCACAAAGGAATCACGTGATGTTTACACTATAAATGGATAAAAATGTGAAATTATTAAAAGTACCTTTTTAGAATCTATTGCTGATTTTATCACCAGAGAAAGAATTAAAGTAAAGTGTAAATCATCTAAATCATCTTCTTCATGCAATGTAAAAGATGCGTTTATCTTTATTCATATTTTTGCCTTTCCGTGAATTGCGCTAGAAAATTATGGCAATTAGCGTAACATGATACTAGATTAACAAAAACCCGCTTGGAGATCCTCGGATTCATAAATGTCAATTCGTGACGTCCTTTCGTTCTATTCATAACGCCATAGAATGATCCCCAGCGAATGTTGTTCGCTTCATGTTCACGACAAGTGTTCGCAAAACTCGATTCGATCGATCTGTTCGTCCACTTACGACGCCGTAAAAGGACGAGACGCGTAAACGTCCTGTTAAAACGAGAGCTGTTACCCTTCCAGTCGAGATCCATTACCGGTCGTGACAAGAGGCCGCCTACTTGACGACGCGATAAAATTGATGCCTGCTTCTGATATCACAAAGAAACGCGTAAGACGAAATATTACCTAACATTTGCTAGTAACGGATTTATATCTTGGGCAAATAAGAGCCTTACGATTACAAAACTACAGGGGCCCCCGTTACAGCGATGCCGCTAACATATAACGAGTTACAAATTAAAGGGTTCGATGCATTGTGTTTTTAAATGGAACTTTCTAAAAAATTTGAGAAAACTAATCGAAATTTAATATTGGAAATTAAATTCAAATTAATTGTTCATTTTAATTAAAGTAATTTTAATTTCTTCAATTTGATCAATTTTTAAATTCAGTACCTTTGTCATAATTTCAAGATTAATTTCCTCAGGGTTTTAAGAAAGCACGTCAGATCGTTGTTGTGCGTCGAGCCCTTAAATTCGAGAATAAAGAGATCGATGAGTGTGCTTTAAGGCAACGGACGTGTCGCAAGCTTACGGAACGGCTCGGGCTAAATGTGTCCTCCATCTCTTCCGTCATCTTCTCCTCCTCCTCCTCGTGCACTGCTGCTTCTGCGTGTCGATTAATTCAGCCAGCCAGCTCGATTAATTAGTCGGCGCGGACGGACTGTGGACTTGGCCGTAAAATATACCGCGTGAAGGACGACAAGCCGAGCAATCGGTACCCGCCCTTTCCGCTCCTGGTTCGTTCCCTGCAATAATTATCATCCGGTAATTAGCGAAACCTCGCACAACCTTCGTAAGCTTTGATGGATATATTGCGTTATGTAAAATTAACTTAACGCGACAATCGTTTTTCTTTGAAAGAAGCGTAACAAAGTCGTCGATATATCAGTAGTAGACAATTTAATTAATCCGGCGAGAGCACATATAATATTTGATCCGTCAACAGACGAGAAGTTCAGATAATGCACAAAAATATATTAATTTTCTTATATTGTACTTTACTTGAACGACTAAATTTTAATTATAATTTTTAATTTAATTTTTAAATTTAAATTATTAAAATTAATAAAAAAGAATAAGAGAAGCAATGTCAATATATTCAGCTTACATTAATGAAATAAAGTTTGAATTAAATTTAACGTGTGTGAAATTTGTAATTATATAGTTTTATTCACAAAGAACCAAAAGAAGTTAAAAAATTAAGATAAGATTTGAAATGTAAGACAGAGAGCAGCGTCGTGAAATAATCTTAAAGTCAATAATAATTCAATAATGATTAGCGATCTTAATTATAAGTCTCTCGATATCGTCTTCTAATGATATGTCAATGAAATTAGTTGAGAAAGTACATTCAGTAAACACGAAGGATTCATCAGGCCAATTAGACTCATTTTAATTTGCGCTCAGTCGGACGAGAGGATCGATTCGCTTTTCGCATGGAGGGCTTGAAAGCAGTTCTGAAAAGATCGCGTAGAGAAGGAAAAGAAGAAGATCGGGAAGCGCGAGCTTTTTCCGGAGGCTGTACGTTAGTCAAAGTGCCTGCGTTCACCGCCAATGATCCTGTATTCGTATTCATCGCGCCGATGCAGCACCTATCTCGTTATTTTCGGCTTACGCCCGCGTTGAATGGATCCATCGATATACTCCCGGCGATATACACGTGTGCGTATATGTGTACGTAAAAGCGAATCTCGTCTGAAACGCTCGTTTCTATTTGCAACTGTGCTCTCTGTGCTTACATGTTATATCATTGTACTGTATCAAGCGAAATATTTCCATAGAATGAGAGAACATCATCGATATTTTAAGGAAGGTACAAAAATTAAAATTTCAAAATGATTTTATAATAGTTCACAAAATTTGTGTGGCGCTAAATTTTCCTTTTCAACTACATTTCACGTTTGTGCGATACTCGCTTAAAAGAAATTTTCAAGAAATTTTAATAATTTATAAATTATAAAATTATTTTTGAAGAAATTAATAAAATTAATAAATTATAAAATTGTAAATTATAAAATTAATAAATTATAAAATTAATTCTAAAGAAATTATAAAATTAAGAAATTATAAAATTAGTTCTGAAGAAATTTTACTTAATAATTTATAAATTATAAAATTATTCTTTCGATGATAATCTTTTCATGCCACGTTTTATAATTAATATATATAAAAATTTGTCCGTCTCTTTGAATTCGGACTCGTACACAGAGAAAAATGTATACTGTATTCAAGTAAATATTATTTATTTTAAGTATATCATAAGTTTGTATATATCCGCAAATATATCATAAATTTTACCACAAGCATTAAATTTAATTGAATATATTTTGAATTTTAGCAAGTGCAGTATTTTAGTCAAGAATATTAAATTAAAATTTCGTTTGCTTACTACAAAGACATAAAGTAAGTTTGATTTTTCATTGATACAACTTTACAATATTCTTGAAGAGAAAATAAATTCTTCTTTTGAGCACATGACAATGGAATTTTCCAACATTTGCGATGAGTATATTTGAAGACTATTATCAAGAATATATTCTTTGTTGAGGAAAAGTATTACTTAAAAACAGAAAAATAAATTAAGTAATCGCTTTTCTTGACAATAGAACATTTTTCTCTGTGTATCCACTCGCCAAACGGTCGCGCCGTTTTAATGTAAATTAGAAGGAAACGCACACCGTGAGGCGTCGCGTCGTCGGATTTGGAGTCGCGGGCGTCGCGACGCCGACGGAAGTAGGTACGCGCAAGCGTCGGCGTAAATCACGCCCCTTGGCCGAACGAGGGGTCCACCCGCAACCCCATTTCCGCGTTATTACAGCCTGGAGAAGATCCAACCCCTTCCTACCCCGCGTCTGAATATCAAGGCAACCCTCCGCGTTTCCACTTAACACTCCGGTCGCGACTAATTACTCTAATTAATTGGAACTCCCGGAGAGAGAGAGATATTTTCACCGGAATTCGCTTCATCTCCATGGTAGTTACTAATTAATTACTATTATCAATAAAGCGCATTTTACACAAGACGCGATGCGTCCAGACGCAGCAGATAGGTACAATTCCGAATCCCGTATCCGCAAGTTCTCGACTATTCATGCGAGAATAACGTGTAAATATAGTCGCTGCTTGCGAAAATACGCGGTTTTCCGCAACATTGACCCGAGGCAAGAGGGGAGGAAACCGCGAGGAATCCTGAATTATATCTCGGAAAAGCGTATTTCGTGCGTCGTTAATTGGAAATGTCATCTCTAGTAGAAATTTCAGGAATTACTCCGTCTACGTGTTTTGAATCCGTGATGCTTTCAATTTATCACGTGGTAATTTATATTTATGTGGGTACTCATTATGAATTTCTATATCGCTAACACTTGAAGAATAACTAGCACACTGATAAAATTCTACATAATTTAATTAAGGATGTTTTGTACCTATTTTCAAAATATTGAGAATTTAATGAAAATTGTACAGAATGTCCTTACATATATTTAGAATCTTCAGTACAATTTTTAAATCGATTCACAATTTATAAAGATTTTAATTTGCACCGAATTAACATGTATTCTTATGGGAAACGTATAAGCGCGTCGATTCAAATGACAAAAACACATGGAAATAATATTCAGAATTTGTTTAAAATTTGCAAAAGTTTAGATACAGAGGAAATATTTGGTCAATAATATTATACAAGTATCAACTGGTTAAAAAGATATTAAATATAATTTAATGAAATTAGCCATGTATCTGCCACAAGGCGAAATGCTCCGCCAAAAGTTAATCATTTCGATTAACAAAATTCGGAATATTTAAATATTAAAAAATACATCTCTGCATTGTACCTGAGATCAAATTGTAATATTCCACACAATTTCTTACTCAAAATACACCAAAAGTGGATATATTTGTCAATATTGATTTTCAGCTACTTTTTGTTGAAATTGTACATACAAAACATCCTTAAAATGTTATATCAAATATTGACGGAAATAATTATTTTACGTTCTATAAGTATTTTATTATATAAAAAAATAAATACTTGATAAAGAATATTGTTTTAAAATATCTCTGGAAAAATCCTCTTTATAAATATTTCATTATATCATGCATGTGTCTATGCAAAATTGCAGAATTTATTGGTACGACTTCTCTTTCTCCCTTAAGAGTTTGTAAATTTGAAAAATTCTTTAACTCGCTCGTACGAATAATTAATTTTTAATTCAATTTTATTAAAAATGTGTGCTTGAGGGGTCAAAATATAATCCTTAGCAATTCGACTCATCGTAGAAGAAGCAGATTTTCTCTCGAGCTTTAAACGCTAATTTAAAAATGCAACAAATCTCTCGCTTACCCTTCAAAACATTGAGATGTCGATAGTAAGCGTTACCGTGCCAGCTCTCGGGACTTCTCGCCGGCGGCAATTCCGTCTTCACGTCACGTAGAGCCGCGGTTTCTTCGGCAATCTTTTCAGCCTCTCGTTCCTGCAACGAGAAAATATTTCAACGTAAGGAGCTTGTCTAAATAAAAATAAATAAACCAGGAAGAAAAACGCGTATATAAAGTCTAAAACCTGCCGAATACAGGCCGATAGTTTCGCTAAATCGACCCGCATCCTCGTATATTTCCTTATTAATCGGTGAGAAAAGAAATATATAATACAATATATCTTGATATCAATTTTTAACCAAGTACACAGTGATAAAAAGTATATCGTTACAGCAATAATTCACAATTCTAAAGGGCTTCTTTCCGCCAGACTGTCTCTTTACTTTGAGAGAGGACATTATTACGTCCGAAACGTCGCGATCGTGACGGTCTCGCGAAAGGTAAGCCTTCATCGGCCAATGAATATATATTTTTCATTCGACATTAAGGAGTCACCGTCGACGTTTGGTCAGCCATAAAACGAGGCCGCAGTAATAATATCGTCGCGGAAGTGCTCGTCCTGGGGAAACGGGAATCGTCATTTTCGTGGAGGCAGGTGGCGGCAGGAGGGGAACAGGGACGGGACAGGGGGAGGGGGGGAGGGGGACAGGGTCGGCAAACAGCCGCGATATGTCGCGTCTCCTTGACGTAATGACAACCGTGGAAATGGATGACGACGACCTACCACTCATCCTGATCAACCACTTAGGTATGCAACGATGGCTCGCGCGCGGCGCGGGAGGGGGGGGTGGCGATCTACAATCTAAACGCGCGGCGAGCCGGCCAAAGCGGGACGCGCACGGTGCTTTATTTAATGCTTCCATCGATAGCGATCGTCGAATTACTTAAATTAATTCCGCCGTCGCCTCCGCCGCCTCCACCGCCGAGCGCACGCCGGAGCGGATCGATCGAGGTGAATTATTCACTCGACTCGGCCAGGGACGAAACGAGCAGTTCGCTACGCGTCGGCCTGCCTCGGCCGATTAAAAAGTCACGGAAACGCGCGCTCTCACCGTAATGTCCGAAGGAGGGAGGAGATTACCGGTCTCCGGGGAGCTCCCGGAAACGACACTCCCCCCCCTCCGGATACGAATGCTTCTACTAGAGCTAACGATATTCGGGTATACTCCAATATCCGGATATCCGCTCGCTACTCTCCAAGTGTGTGTAATATCATAGTATCCCGTATTACCTGTCATTTTAGCCAGGTATCATCCGATAATTTACACAAATAATTGACATCCCATTCGGAGTAATACACGGGAAAAATTAATAATAATGTAATATAATTGTCAGATGATTCAGCGTACATTTATTTTTTATAAGACTGAGGTAGTAGTTAATTGTTGCACAAGTGAGTTAGAGAATTTTTGAATTTTATAAACTCTTAAGGAGGGAGAAAACTAGTAGAGAAAAGTATTGATAAATTTTGCAATTGTGCATATATAATATTCATAAAGAATACGCATATATAATATTCATAAAGAGACGTCTTCCAAAAGTATTTTGAAACAATATTCTTTTTTAATACAACTTTTCTTTTTTTTTAAGAAATCATTTATATTAGAATTTATAGTAGAATGTAAAATCATTTCTTAGCTAAATCTTGGGTATAATATTTTAATAGAGTTTTGTAGAATTTTATCAACTTGTTATAATAATTCTTCGCGACTATTAACGTCCGATACAAAAATTCATAATAAATACTAACATAAATATAAATTACCACGTGATAGAAATTGTCACGACTTCAAATGTGTAGGTAAAATAATATATATAATATTAATTAATTATTAATAAATGTATATAATATCATATACATATACAGATAATATACACACCGAAAAAAAGTAAGTGTCAAATCAAAACTTATATACTTAAACTAACGCGTTCATTGTTTCGTATAAGCGCAACAATTTATAATCTTCTTTAAGAATTTAATAATTTTAAATTTCAACCAGTTTTATAGTCTCATTTTAATATTGTAATTGTCACCTCAAGAATATATAATTATTTAATTATTTAATTATTTAATTATTTAATTATATAATTATTTTCTACTTTAAGAAAATTATAATCTTTGATTTAAAAATGTTATTTTTTATCTAACATTATTCCTTTTCTATTCAAGAAAATTAAATCATAAGAATATATTTTTCTTGATTCAACTATATAAAATGGCTTCATTCAAGTAAGCAATTATTCAAGCAATTATATTTTTTTTTAATTAACGCGATATAAAATCTCATTATATAATCTCATTTCAAGATTTCCATGTTAAAATTAAATATATTTTCAAAATAAGAATGTTCTTTTTTTCTGTGGCTATAAAAAACATGTTCCTATATATAACGCAATATTTATTTGATTTTAGCGGATTTTCGAAGCATCGAATTCATTGCGATTCGCTGTTAGAATGACTGTTTAGGGGATGTTATTTAAAAATCAGCATATACATCGAGCTACCGATTTCGTGCGATTTCGTATACACAGTGCGTGTAAATGGATAGGCGGATAGGCGCGGAAAAAAAGGACGGAAACTTCATACGGCGTCGGGCAAAGCCACACCGGGAAAGAATATGACACGCGAAAATGCATTTTTAACGAATAACACGGTTGTACCTTCTGCACAACTCGTTCGGGTTCTCGTTAGTCTAAACGGGTTACGGAATAGAAGGAAAGCCCGCGAGTGAAATTCATATAAGTTATATGTTTCACACGAGTTACGAGAAAATGGAACGACTTGTCATCACTTTACGTTCTCCAAGCACGAAGTGTACTGCAGCAAGTTAATTACTTAAGTAAATAAGTTATATAAGCCTGTTAGAGAGATAAAGTCTCTTGCTTAAATGAATATGACATGGGACTGTAAAAATTCGAAAAAATAATATTATAATCCGTAACATTATAATTTTTAGAATCGAGCAATTTGATTATTAAACCACTGAATACTCCGAGAATGTAAAATCGTTTCTCAGCAACGCGAATACAAGAAAGCATTAAGCTTAATTAATTATAGCTTAATTAAAGTTAATTAAAGAAGCAATCGAAAATAATTATCAACATCGCGTTGTCGGGGTTTCAATTGTCCTGTAACTTTTACAGGTATAATTACTGAGCCGGCAAAATTCCCGTGGATTTTTACTGCTTCAACGAGTTCCTCGATTTACGCAGCAACGCTAATGCACTACAACGAACGTCGTTAACTGATGGTAACGCGATTCCCCCTTTTTCTCCATCTCTTTCTCCCTCTCTTTCTCGCAAAGGTAAATGTAATCATCGTAGTTTCCGTCCGCAGTTACGTGATGTTGTAATCGTCACAATGGTATAAATATTTCATATCGTGCCTGACGTATACGCGAACGTTACGGGGTACAATCGACTTTAACTGTCGTTTCGAGGCTTCCTATCGCAGCTCGTGCATCTCGGTGATTACCACCGTATATAGCCGCCCACATACATATATGTGCGCGATACGATTAAGGTATATTCACACGTTAAAATAGCAGTCCTTAGTACAAAAGTGTGCAATTTGTTCATTTTTATCTTTCCGTTCACAATTTAGCAAGAAATTCCTTCTTAAGAGGCGAGATATTCATTGCATATCGATAAATATGAATTCGAGAGAGATTTCTTTCGCGTATTATATAATACACGGTATAATTCTTCACATATATTACGTATATTAATGCAAGTATGTAAAATTTATATTTATCTAAAGCTCAAAGAGAACACTCTAAAAGATTGTGCGTAGAGTTTAATTATAAAAAAAATATAATGAAGCAATTAAATTTTGTTGCGCATGAATTGAGAGAGCTGCATAATAATAATAATAATAATAATAATAATAATAATAATAATAATAATAATAATAATAATAATAATAATAATAATAATAATAATAATAATAATAATAATAATAATAATAATAATAATAATGTATAACAACTTTATATATATCGGATATAATATGTAAATGATCCTTCAAGATATATAGCGAGGATTATATTGTACTTCCTACGTTATACAGAAGAGATATAATCATGTTCTAGAATTGTGTGCGTGTCGTACTTATAAATATGACTAGGTCGAAAAAAGCTCTTCAATGTATTATGCACACGCGATAACCTTTGATTTAAAATTTCGCCAAATTAGGTTAATTTGCGAAAAGCGATGTTTGAGATCTATCGTTTCGTGAATAGCCTAAAACAATTAACATTCGATAAAACTTACCTGCAAGACTTGCTCATATCACTTGGCTTATGTAAAAATTAATTATGAGACGATGCTTTAATGGGCCGCGTCTATCAAAAGCACCGATAAAATTTTCATGCTGTTTGGGATTTCGGATAATTATGTTTTGTATGCACGCGGAGAGAGAGAAAGACTCACCCCGTAAAGAACGGGGCTCGAAAGGGGTCGTGCTGTCTATTGTGAAGTAATTCGATGAGGTAAAAACGTTACGGAGGGTGACTTTTGTTTGTGACAGACGCGTGAGTCCGAAAAATACACTCGTTCTTTAAAAAATACACTCTTTTCTTCTTTCATTATTATTTTTTCGATCTAGCTTTTCAGCCGATTATTTCTTTCCTTAATATCGAATTTAGCAATAAATTTGCGTGCCAGGCAATTGATTTAATATAATTATTGTCAGAAATTAATATTTAAAAATATTGTTAAATGTATAATAAATTTTGAAATTGTGAGGTATTTCCTTTTTCAAAATAAAGTTATAGTTTACTGCTACTTTGATTTTAATCAAAAGGAAATATTCATTCAAAGTATAAAATTCGATATAGATAATTATACTTTACATAAATATATACACAACGATACATATAATTATTCAAAGATCTTTTCACTTTATTGAACGAAATAATTAATCCGTGCAAGAATCTTTTTCAAAAGGTCTGCTGCATCGATTGAATGCGCTGTTAAATCGGAACAAATCGTTGAAACATCATCGCACATAATTATTGTCAGAAATTAACATTTACAAATATTATTCAATGTATAATAAATTTTGACATTGTGAGGCACTTCCTTTTTCAAAATA